GGATGAGAACTAGTACTGAAATCAGGTGCTCAGAATGGATGAGAACTAGTACTGAAATCAGGTGCTCTGAATGGATGAGAACTAGTACTGAAATCAGGTGCTCAAAATGGATGAGAATTAGTACAGAAATCAGGTGCTCTGAATATATGAGAACTAATACTGAAATCAGGTGCTCAGGTGCTCAGAATGGTTGAGAACTAGAACTGAAACCAGGTGCCTAGAATGGATGAGAACTAGTACTGAAATCAGGTGCTCGGAATGGATTGAAACTAGTACTGAAATCAGGTGCTATGAATGGATGAGAGCTAGTACTGAAATCAGGTGTTCTGAATAGATGAGAACTAATACTGAAATCAGGTGCTCAGAATGGTTGAGAACTAGTACTGAAACCAGGTGCTCAGAATGGATGAGAACTAGTACTGAAATCAGGTGCTCGGAATGGATTGAAACTAGTACTGAAATCAGGTGCTATGAATGGATGAGAGCTAGTACTGAAATCAGGTGCTCAGAATGGATGAAAACTAGTACTGAAATCAGGTGCTCAGAATGGATGAGAACTAGTACTGAAATCAGGTGCTCAGAATGGACGAGAACTAGTACTAAAATCAGGTGCTCAGAATGGATGAGAACTAGTACTGAAATCAGGTGCTTAGAATGGATGAGAACTAGTACTGAAATCAGGTGCTCAGAATGGACGAGAACTAGTACTGAAATCAGGTGCTTAGAATGGATGAGAACTAGTACTGAAATCAGGTGCTCAGAATGGTTGAGAACTAGTACTGAAACCAGGTGCTCAGAATGGATGAGAACTAGTACTGAAATCAGGTGCTCAGAATGGATTGAAACTAGTACTGAAATCAGGTGCTATGAATGGATGAGAGCTAGTACTGAAATCAGGTGCTCAGAATGGATGAAAACTAGTACTGAAATCAGGTGCTCAGAATGGATGAGAATTATTACTGAAATTGAGATTTAGTACTGAAACCAGGTGCTCAGAATGGATGAGAACTAATACTGAAATCAGGTGCTCAGAATGGTTGAGAACTAGTACTGAAACCAGGTGCTCAGAATGGATGAGAACTAGTACTGAAATCAGGTACTCAGAATGGATTGAAACTAGTACTGAAATCAGGTGCTATGAATGGATGAGAGCTAGTACTGAAATCAGGTGCTCAGAATGGTTGAGAACTAGTACTGAAACCAGGTGCTCAGAATGGTTGAGAACTAGTACTGAAACCAGGTGCTCAGAATGGATGAGAACTAGTACTGAAATCAGGTGCTCAGAATGGATGAGAACTAGTACTGAAATCAGGTGCTCTGAATGGATGAGAACTAGTACTGAAATCAGGTGCTCAAAATGGATGAGAATTAGTACTGAAATCAGGTGCTCTGAATATATGAGAACTAATACTGAAATCAGGTGCTCAGGTGCTCAGAATGGTTGAGAACTAGAACTGAAACCAGGTGCTCAGAATGGATGAGAACTAGTACTGAAATCAGGTGCTCAGAATGGATTGAAACTAGTACTGAAATCAGGTGCTATGAATGGATGAGAGCTAGTACTGAAATCAGGTGTTCTGAATAGATGAGAACTAATACTGAAATCAGGTGCTCAGAATGGTTGAGAACTAGTACTGAAACCAGGTGCTCAGAATGGATGAGAACTAGTACTGAAATCAGGTGCTCAGAATGGATTGAAACTAGTACTGAAATCAGGTGCTATGAATGGATGAGAGCTAGTACTGAAATCAGGTGCTCAGAATGGATGAAAACTAGTACTGAAATCAGGTGCTCAGAATGGATGAGAACTAGTACTGAAATCAGGTGCTAAGAATGGACGAGAACTAGTACTAAAATCAGGTGCTCAGAATGGATGAGAACTAGTACTGAAATCAGGTGCTCAGAATGGACGAGAACTAGTACTGAAATCAGGTGCTTAGAATGGATGAGAACTAGTACTGAAATCAGGTGCTCAGAATGGTTGAGAACTAGTACTGAAATCAGGTGCTCTAAATGAATGAGAACTAGTACTGGAATCAGGTGCTCAGAATGGATGAGAACTAGTACTGAAATCAGGTGCTCAGAATGGATGAGAACTAGTACTGAAATCAGGTGCTCTGAATGGATGAGAACTAGTACTGAAATCAGGTGCTCAAAATGGATGAGAATTAGTACAGAAATCAGGTGCTCTGAATATATGAGAACTAATACTGAAATCAGGTGCTCAGGTGCTCAGAATGGTTGAGAACTAGAACTGAAACCAGGTGCCTAGAATGGATGAGAACTAGTACTGAAATCAGGTGCTCGGAATGGATTGAAACTAGTACTGAAATCAGGTGCTATGAATGGATGAGAGCTAGTACTGAAATCAGGTGTTCTGAATAGATGAGAACTAATACTGAAATCAGGTGCTCAGAATGGTTGAGAACTAGTACTGAAACCAGGTGCTCAGAATGGATGAGAACTAGTACTGAAATCAGGTGCTCGGAATGGATTGAAACTAGTACTGAAATCAGGTGCTATGAATGGATGAGAGCTAGTACTGAAATCAGGTGCTCAGAATGGATGAAAACTAGTACTGAAATCAGGTGCTCAGAATGGATGAGAACTAGTACTGAAATCAGGTGCTCAGAATGGACGAGAACTAGTACTAAAATCAGGTGCTCAGAATGGATGAGAACTAGTACTGAAATCAGGTGCTTAGAATGGATGAGAACTAGTACTGAAATCAGGTGCTCAGAATGGACGAGAACTAGTACTGAAATCAGGTGCTTAGAATGGATGAGAACTAGTACTGAAATCAGGTGCTCAGAATGGTTGAGAACTAGTACTGAAACCAGGTGCTCAGAATGGATGAGAACTAGTACTGAAATCAGGTGCTCAGAATGGATTGAAACTAGTACTGAAATCAGGTGCTATGAATGGATGAGAGCTAGTACTGAAATCAGGTGCTCAGAATGGATGAAAACTAGTACTGAAATCAGGTGCTCAGAATGGATGAGAATTATTACTGAAATTGAGATTTAGTACTGAAACCAGGTGCTCAGAATGGATGAGAACTAATACTGAAATCAGGTGCTCAGAATGGTTGAGAACTAGTACTGAAACCAGGTGCTCAGAATGGATGAGAACTAGTACTGAAATCAGGTACTCAGAATGGATTGAAACTAGTACTGAAATCAGGTGCTATGAATGGATGAGAACTAGTACTGAAATCAGGTGCTCAGAATGGACGAGAACTAGTACTGAAATCAGGTGCTCAGAATGGATGAGAACTAGTACTGAAATCAGGTGCTTAGAATGGATGAGAACTAGTACTGAAATCAGGTGCTCAGAATGGACGAGAACTAGTACTGAAATCAGGTGCTTAGAATGGATGAGAACTAGTACTGAAATCAGGTGCTCAGAATGGATGAGAACTAGTACTGAAATCAGGTGCTCAGAATGGATGAGAATTAGTACTGAAATTGAGATTTAGTACTGAAACCAGGTGCTCAGAATGGATGAGAACTAGTACTGAAATCAGGTGCTCTGAATGGATGAGAACTAATACTGAAATCAGGTGCTCAGAATGGATGAGAATTAGTACTGAAATTGAGATTTAGTACTGAAACCAGGTGCTCAGAATGGATGAGAACTAGTACTGAAATCAGTTGCTCAGAATGGATGTGAACTAGTACTGAAATCAGGTGCTCAGAATGGATGAGAACTAGTACTGAAATCAGTTGCTCAGAATGGATGTGAACTAGTACTGAAATCAGGTGCTCAGGATGGATGATAACTAGTACTGAAATCAGGTGCTTAGAATGGATGACAACTAGTACTGAAATCAGGTGCTCAGAATGGACGAGAACTAGTACTGAAATAAGGTGCTTAGAATGGATGAGAACTAGTACTGAAATCAGGTGCTCTGAATGGATGAGAACTAATACTGAAATCAGTTGCTCAGAATGGATGAGAATTAGTACTGAAATTGAGTTTTAGTACTGAAACCAGGTGCTCAGAATGGATGAGAACTAGTACTGAAATCAGGTGCTCTGAATGAATGAGAACTAGTACTGAAATCAGGTGCTTAGAATGGATGAGAACTAGTACTGAAATCAGGTGCTCAGAATGGATGAGAACTAGTACTGAAATCAGGTGCTCTGAATGAATGAGAACCAGTACTGAAATCAGGTGCTCAGAATGGATGAGAACTAGTACTGAAATCAGGTGCTCAGAATGGATGAGAACTAGTACTGAAATCAGGTGCTCTGAATGGATGAGAACTAGTACTGAAATCAGGTGCTCAGAATGGATGAGAACTAGTACTGAAATCAGGTGCTCTGAATAGATGAGAACTAATACTGAAATCAGGTGCTCAGAATGGTTGAGAACTAGTACTGAAACCAGGTGCTCAGAATGGATGAGAACTAGTACTGAAATCAGGTGCTCAGAATAGATTGAAACTAGTACTGAAATCAGGTGCTATGAATGGATGAGAGCTAGTACTGAAATCAGGTGCTCAGAATGGATGAAAACTAGTACTGAAATCAGGTGCTCAGAATGGATGAGAACTAGTACTGAAATCAGTTGCTTAGAATGGATGAGAACTAGTACTGAAATCAGGTGCTCAGAATGGATGAGAACTAGTACTGAAATCAGGTGCTCAGGATGGATGAAAACTAGTACTGAAATCAGGTGCTCAGAATGGATGAGCAGTTCATAATTTACTGGCGACTTTCGTTGTTATGCTCTTGGAAGAAAAAGTCCGATGATAATTCTTATTAGGTGATGTCATCATGTCACAATGTTACAATCAAATAAAAAAAGGATTGGATAATGGCTACAAAATTTGAACCTCCCCGATATCATGATGACGTTTAAAGAGATGACACCAACTTCTCCCGAAAGAACCCTTCAGGATTTTTATATTTAAAACAACGTTGCTAATTGGTTTTTTTTTCTATTTTTAGAAGACTTGTTTGATCCACCATGCTTTTTTCTTCTTCTATTTTTAGAAGAAGACTTGTTTGATCCACCAACCATTCCACTACGCAGCTCTGATATGCCAACTAACTACCATTATGACAGACGAAGAAGTCGAGCTGTCCTTTATCAGCTGTCTGGTCAGTTCGACAAACATAAGCATAACAGAACAAAGAGTAAACTACAGAAGCTCAATAATGTAAGACCAATAATATGATATTTTTATGTTTATTGTCTTTGCGGGACAATGCACACAATGTAACATAGTACCACATATCACAATAATAAATATATAATAATTATGTAATTAAACACGACTTGAAAAATAAAATATTAATAAGCACCAATATGAAAGTTACTGAACGACACAATAACCAAAAAACTACAAGAGGTTACAAGAGGTAAAAATTAAACAAGTGTCTAGACATAATATTTTTTTCTTTATCAATCGTGATATTATTACTGTGGATTCATTATCATTCGTAGAATACCAATTTTTGCGGATTTTGTGGTAATGAGTAGACCACGAATTAAAATCGTCAACAAATTACAAATATTCTATAGGCATATATACTCCTGCAAAAACACAAATTATTATACCAAGACAAATTTAAAAAAAAACTCAATCCGCGAGAATTGGTACCCACGAAAAAAAAATGAATCCACAGTTTATAGTTTTTATTAGCCATGAACTAACTCTAACAAATGTACAGATATATTTATGAACAATACATAAGATCCTGTTTGAAGCATTTGATCAAAAATTAATCGATTTATATTCAAACAAACAATGTTTTTAAGCACCACGGTGGTTTAATTACATTTCTAAATAACAAAATGAGATATTGTATGGTAACCAATGCCAATGAGTTCAAATAAAGTAGATATAAGCAAGTATAGATCAACTTTACATTCTTCTTTAATAAGATTCTTCTTGGAAAAAAGACGTTTATTTCATAAACTATATTATATTATATAATTACACAACCATGTTGAAACATATATTTTGCAGTTCACCGGGTCAATATCAGGTCAGATGCCAGAGTACAAAGTTCAAGAGGTCAAAAAATCCAAATTTGTGATTGCTCATTATGGAATTTTCAAAGTCGGCTGGGATTGGTTGATATTGTTGTGTACATTTTATACTGCCATCATGGTTCCTTATAATGCAGCATTTTCAAATAAAGACGTCAAAGAATCGCGAGATTCTATTTACTCAGATGTTGTTGTAGAAATTTTATTTATAATAGGTAAGATTTGGGTTTTTTATGACATCTTACGTGTACATATTGTGTATAGGCCGATCAAATGTAGGATGTTTTCATTTCATAATTCAGCCGATGAAAATAGTTGTTACATAACGATTGCATTATAATTTGAATTTCAATGTATCCCGACATGCATCTGCAAGGGGGTTTCGGCTCAAATTTGTTTCTCCAAAGTTAACCACAAATTAATCCCGGCCTAGTTAAACACCTCAACCAGAAGAGATAACTATAAATCAAAAAGGAAATAGTCGTAAAAAAAGAATACAATTCACTGAAAACCAACCTTAGGCTTAATGATTTGGAACCAAAGTTTTCCCTAAAGGCAATTAGCATTATAATTCTCCGGTCTAGCCATTATACAATCAGTGAGTGACGAGGTTTACTGAGATACAAAACGAGACAACAACAAATTAAGAACGAACAAAACACTTATCCTACAGGTATGTGTAAAACAAATATTTTGTCAGCCAATGGTGAGATACTCGCCACGTTTGCTCAAAGTTGTAAAAGAGGTTTCAATTTTCAGCCGAATTACACCTTAATTTCCTAGCTGGTGGAATATTTCTAAATACTCAACCTGTTGTTGTTCAGGAACGTCTTGTTCAACAATTCTTAGTTTTAAAATGCGAATTAAAATACAATCAGTGAAGTCGTCATTTTTGTTTGCCTTCCTCTGATTTTGATTTTGTGACGTTACGAAAACGTGCTTAATGACGCCCAAAGGAAGTAATACACATTTTTGACAGATCATAGGATGAAAAAGTAAAAATTTGCAGGAAGATTAACGCATGAACAGTTTCAACTAACTAGTTTGATATTTTCATCACTGACATGCAAGTTTGTAAAATTAACTGTCATGGGTTGAGAAATATCGTACAAAATACTCGATGCAGAGTATCATTTATTTATTTTGATCTAGCCTTATACGCCGTTTCAGAATCTAATGCTTTCTGGGTAATATTTTCAACCAATGGCGAGACGTTGTTTCCTTTTTTTTTTGTACAATGAAAATAACCCATAATCTTTTAGATTCTGAAAAGTCGAAATGACAACCGATGATAGACATTTAAAAAATATACATGCACTAAATAAGCCAACATATCTTTATTATGACACTATACCCTATACATATTTTGTTTTTATTTTATACTTTCAGATATAGCATTAAATTTTTGTACATCGTTTCTTAGTAGAAGTGGACATATAGTTTATGATTTAAAACAGATAGCAATCAACTATATAAAAGGATGGTTTTTATTGGACCTTCTTGCCGCCCTTCCTTTTGACTTTCTGTTTTTGTTTAATGTCAACTTGGTAAGTGATCGTGTGATTTTATGTAAAGTTTTCAATGTGGTAGATGAATCTCTATAGAAGGAAGGTTTTTATTGGACCTTCTTGCCGCCCTTCCTTTTGACTTCCTGTTTTTGTTTAATGTCAACTTGGTAAGTGATCGTGTGATTTTATGTAAAGTTTTCATTGTGGTAGATGAATCTCTATAGAAGGAAGGTTTTTATTGGACCCTCTTGTCGTACTTCCTTTTTACTTCCTGTTTTTGTGTAATGTCAACTTGGTAAGTGATCGTGTGATTTTATGTAAAGTTTTCATTGTGGTAGATGAATCTCTATAGAAGGAAGGTTTTTATTGGACCCTCTTGTCGCCCTTCCTTTTTACTTCCTGTTTTTGTTTAATGTCAACTTGGTAAGTGATCGTGTGATTTTATGTAAAGTTTTCATTGTGGTAGATGAATCTCTATAGAAGGAAGGTTTGTATTGGACCCTCTTGTCGTACTTCCTTTTTACTTCCTGTTTTTGTTTAATGTCAACTTGATAAGTGATCGTGTGATTCTTTTTAAAGTTTTCATCGAGGTAGACGAATCACCATAGAAAAAGGGTAGATAAGAAATTTTCATCAAATCAAATAAAAATTTTTTTTTAGTGTCATATTAGTCATAAAACAGTTGTTTCATAATGAAAATTATACACAATAAACATTAAAAAAACACAGGGAAAACATATCCTGCAAAACAATCTGTTCATATTTTAGATATCTTCACAATATTGAAAGTCAGATACGTATATTTTCAAATGATGTCAAAAAGAGGCGAGGATACCAAAGTGACATTCAAACTCATAAGTCGAAAATAAACTGACAACGCCATGGCGAAAAAGGAAAAAGACAAACAGACAAACATCAGTACTCAAAACATAACATAGAAAACGAAAGACTGTGCAATACGAACCCCACCAAAAACTGGAGGTGATCTCAGATGCTCAGGAAGGGTAAGCAAATCCTTCTCCACATGTGGCACCCGTCGTGTTACAGTAAACAAATGATTATTTGCATACGGGTATCGCATACAGAAAACCCTATAATCTGTACTAATGATGTTACTTCTTGGTGTAACTGTAGAAGTAGCCTTTTAAGTTTAGAAGATTTTTTTCATGTTTTTTGTATACACTTTGATAGAAAACACCAGTAAATTTGCTCAAACAAGCTTCTGGGACCTAAATTTTCATGCTTTCTAAACATTTTGATAGAACACGCCAGAATATTTGCTCAAACTAGCCAGATTATTATTATGTTATTTTACATTTTGATAAAACACGCCAGAATATTTGCTCAAACTAGCCAGATTATTATCATGTTATTTTACATTTTAATAGAACACGCCAGGATATTTGTTCAAACTAGCCAGATTATTATCATGTTATTTTACATTTTGATAGAACACGCCAGGATATTTGCTGAAACTAGCCAGATTATTATCATGTTATTTTACATTTTAACAGAACACGCCAGGATATTTGTTCAAACTAGCCAGATTATTGCCATTTTATTTTACATTTCAATAGAACACGTTTGTACATTTGATCAAACTAGCTTTCAAGAATTTGTTTTTATGTTTTCTTTACACTTTGGTAGAAAACACCAGTACATTTGCTCAAACTAGCCAGATTGTTACGTCTTGCCAGACTTCTACAGAAGATAGATAGATATTCGCAATACAGTGCTGTTGTGGTGACACTGCTGATGTGTATGTTTGCCATGAGTGCCCATTGGTTAGCATGCATATGGTACGCTATAGGATATAAGGAGTTAAAAAATAACCCACAGAACTGGACAGTAGGTATGTGTGAGTTACATAACTTATAACAGGGTAGAGGAAATCAGTTTCCTTATGTATTGATTTTAAATAATGGTCTTGCTTTTTTCTAATGGTACCGTACACAAATGAGTGTCTAATGGTACAGTACACATCTGTTTTTTATGTGTCTAAAGGTACAGTACACAAACAAATGGTTGTATAATGGTACAGTACACATATGATTTTTGTGTATAAATGTACAGCCGGTACACTAATAAATGGTTGTCCAATGGTACAGTAAACAAATGATTTTTCGTCTTATGTTACCGTACACAAATGGTTGTCTTTTTGTACAGTACACATATGATTTTTGTGTTTAAAGGTACAGTACACTAATAAATGGTTATCTAATGATACAGTAAACAAATGATTGTTAGTATATGAGTACCGCACAAAAATAAATGGTTGTCTAATGATACCGTACAGAGAACCTTATAATCTGTACTAGTGATGTCACTTCTTGATGTAACTGTAGAAGTAGCTTTTTAAGTTTACAATGGTTGATGTTTTGATGTTATTTCTTAGGTTGGTTATTTGAGTTGGCAGAAAGAATCGATGATCCCATAGATTCAAACAGAACCAACAAACCAGACATATTGACCTCCTATCTGACAGCACTTTATTTTACATGTAGTAGTTTAACTAGTGTTGGATTTGGAAATGTGTCTGCCAATACCAATGCAGAGAAAATTTTCTCAATATGTGCCATGTTAATTGGTGGTTAGTACGTCTATACATTATGTTAGGTCTATTGTTTGGAACTTATGAAATTATAGTCTTTCGACTCATTAGAGAATAAAGTCACCCCGACTGTAGAAATCAATTGTATTAGTTGTTAAAAATGACACAACCAAGGTGTGATAGCCGTGATATATTCCTAATTATAGGCAATTTGTATTAGGTGTTAAAAATGACACAACCAAGGTGTGATAGCCGTGATATATTCCTAAATAAATTATAGGCATTTTGTATTAGTTGTTAAAAATAACACAACCAAGGTGTGATAGCCGTGATATATTCCTAATTATAGGCAATTTGTATATTTTTTCCTTTGATGTTATTGCCTAATATTTTCAAGATCATAGACAGGACTTGATACTCGAAAATAACAGGCAATGACGTCATGTATCAATGCAGCAACGTCACGTGTTCATGTCCATCCGCGTCAATTTATCAATGAAATGAACGCGACTTCATTCATACAACCGAACAACTATCCCAACGTTTTGTACGTGTAAAACCAAAAAAAAAAACATACAGTTAAGACAAATTGCCGATAAAAAGAATAATGGCATTTTTTTTTAAACTGACTTCAGCAGCTCGAATATCAGCAAATCCTAGCGGGCTCGCTTGATTTTCTACTGATAAAGTCAGTATCAAAAACAAAAATGCCATTATTCTATGTATATCGTTGGTAATGTACAATCACAGATTTCAGAGGACTTGTAATGAAACATGACATACAACATCTTATATAAGTGGCGTCTCTGCCAGTACAAATTGCAGTTACCAACAGATCTAGACAAACCAAGATACAGTACAAAATCGTTTGTTGAAGAAAAAAAGACAATACCATGGTCAAATAGAAAACGATTATAAAACAAACAAAGTTCTACACAGTTAAGCTATGCATTGATTGTAGTTCAACACAGCTTGCTATATTTCTAATATAATTCTTATTTAGCTTATTATTTGTATATCTAAATGAGCATATATCAGTAATTGTTCCGTTTCACTTTCAGTCACTTTCTTTTTTCATATTATTTGTAATTAGATGAGTATACATGTACAATGTATATTACTGATTGTTCCGTTATACTTTCAGTTACCTGGTTTTTTTTAGTATTTATGTAATTAGATGAGTATACACGTACAATGTATATTACTGATTGTTCCGTTATACTTTCAGCCATGATGCACGCAGTAGTATTTGGTAATGTGACTGCCATTATACAGCGAATGTATTCTAGACGTGCCAACTATCATTATAAAACCAAAGATCTGAAAGATTTTTTTAGGACACATCATATACCAAAACCACTCAAACACAGGATGCAGGAACACTTCCAGGCAACTTGGTCTGTAAACAACGGCATCGATACCAATGAGGTAAGGTAACATCGAGGCAACGTGGTCTGTTAACAACGGCATCGATACCAATGAGGTAAGGTAACATCGAGGCAACGTGGTCTTATAACAACGGCATCGATACCAATGAGGTAAGGTAGCATCGAGGCAACGTGGTCTGTTAACAACGGCATCGATACCAATGAGGTAAGGTAACATCGAGGCAACGTGGTCTGATAACAACGGCATCAATACCAATGAGCTAAGGTAACATCGAGGCAACGTGGTCTGTAAACAACGGCATCGATACCAATGAGGTAAGGTAACATCGAGGCAACGTGGTCTGTTAACAACGGCATCGATACCAATGAGGTAAGGTAACATCGAGGCAACGTGGTCTGTTAAAAACGGCATCGATACCAATGAGGTAAGGTAACATCGAGGCAACGTGGTCTGTTAACAACGGCATCGATACCAATGAGCTAAGGTAACATCGAGGCAACGTGGTCTGTTAACAACGGCATCGATACCAATGAGGTAAGGTAACATCGAGGCAACGTGGTCTGTTAACAACGGCATCGATACCAATGAGCTAAGGTAACATCGAGGCAACGTGGTCTGATAACAACGGCATCGATACCAATGAGATAAGGTAACATCGAGACAACGTGGTCTGATAACAACGGCATCAATACCAATGAGCTAAGGTAACATCGAGGCAACGTGGTCTGTTTTAAACAACGGCATCGATACCAATGAGATAAGGTAACATCGAGGCAACGTGGTCTGATAGCAACGGCATCAATACCAATGAGCTAAGGTAACATCGAGGAAACGTGGTCTGTTAACAACAGTATCGATACCAATGAGGTAAGGTAACATCGAGGCAACGTGGTCTGTTTTAAACAACGGCATCAATACCAATGAGCTAAGGTAACAACGAGGCAACGTGGTCTGTTAACAACAGTATCGATACCAATGAGGTAAGGTAACATCGAGGCAACTTGGTCTGTTTTAAACAACGGCATCAATACCAATGAGCTAAGGTAACAACGAGGCAACGTGGTCTGTTAACAACGGTATCGATACCAATGAGGTAAGGTAACATCGAGGCAAGTAGGGCTGATAACAACGGCAACAATACCAAAGAGGTAAGATATAATCCAGGCAACTTTGCCTGTTAACAACGACATCGATACCAATGAGGCAAGGTAACATCGAGCAACGTGGTCTGTTAACAACGGCATCGATACCAATGAGGTCAGGTAACATCGAGGCAACATGGTCTGATAACAAAGGTATCGATACAAATGAGGTAAGAAAACATCCAGGCAACTTGGTCTGTCAACAACGGCATCGATACAAATGAGGTTATGAAACTCAGAAAACTATGATGTTTTCGTTGAATTATTCTAAACTCGAAGATTTTCTTCACCGAGCACAGATTGCCAAAGCTGCATTTGGCACAACATATAGGAATTTTCGATTTTTAATTCTCATCTAATGCGTACTTCGTTTGGCCTTCCAACTGATTTGATTCGAGCGTCACTGCTGAGTCTAAAGTAAACAAAATGCGTATCTGATGTACCAGGTATCTTTGGTGAAATTGTGCACTGCAAAGCTTCATACAAATGTTCTTCATCCTGTAATGAATGTATCTTGAATATTAAAAAATAACATGCTTAATATTAATATATGACCCAAAGCTCAACCCAAAAAGGATATTTTGTATCTAATACAAATACACAAATGTATGTGAATGTGAGTAAAACAATGTTTTGGAACGGCCTCGCGTCATATGTATTTATTTGTTACCAAACTCTTTCTGAAAAATGGTAACTTTAGGCCTAATATGGTAGTTACACATGTTTACTACGTCACGGTTTCACTACATTTGACATTTATAATATGACATTTTTACACACCAAAACCTGTTTATCTATTTAATGGTTTGAAGAGACATTAACTTTCAACATAGTATTGATATTATATCGTATTCCGTATTGTTGAAATATCATATTATCTTACAGCTGTAATTGGATTTATTCATGTCACTTGTTCCTACCATGAAAATACATGCTGACTTGGTTTTACTAAAAAAAGATATTTTATAAGCCTTAATATCGAAATCCTGCAGTTATTATAACCACTGGGTGGATACCTGTGCTGGTGAACTGTAAGTCCCCGGGGATATCACCAGCTCAGGTTGAAATCACGGGGTGGATACCTGTGCTGGTGAACTGTAAGTCCCCGGGGATATCACCAGCTCAGGTTGAAATACGGATATTGTTATATTTAAATTTAGCTGTTATACAATTTTGGAAATGAATATATATCCCTCATATATATATAGCTCTTGTTCCATGTCCGGAATTGGCGGTCATTTTTCTGTCCTTTAGGGTTTAATCAGATCTTTTTTGAACGTTTGCATTAAGTTTTGGATTTTCATATATTTTGGCCTTGGTCATAATTGAAGTGACATTAATTGTCAAAACAAGAACCTGGTGCAGTTAAATTGATATCATTAATGTTTCAATATTTCTGTTAAAAGAACTATCCCATTGAAATAAAAATTCCTTTTTACATTTTTTCTTCGTGAAAATGCATATGCATCTTCTTTATTTAGATATTTAGATATTATAAAACTACATTTTTCAGATTTTAAAGGATTTCCCCGATGAACTACGAGGAGAAATAGGTCTTCACCTACATCACGACATCTTATCGTTACCAATATTTGAGGATGCCACACAAGGATGTTTGAGGTCCATCTCTCTTCATACAAAGCGCGCATTTTGTGCTCCAGGAGATTTCTTATCTCACAAAGGGGATGCTGTGAACTACGTATATCTACTGTGTAATGGATCTATGGAAGTCTTGAAAGAAGAAATGGTGGTAGCTATTTTAGGTATGTTGGACAAATATTTGAAAGATGAAAACAACACGTTATAAATTTCATGCGCCCAAAGCGCCTTTGTATTTTTATTCTGGATTTACTTTCATCAGGAACGCTCAAAGCCGAATATTTGAAAGCCAAGGATTTATAAGTATCTAAACAGTTGAAGAGCTATATAACCAAAAAAGACCTGATGCAGGAATCAAAAGTACTGTTTTTTAAAAGTCATAAATACTAGTATTCTCAATCAGCACATTGAAAACTAGTATTTAGGATTCTACTATAAAAGAAAATTGTGTCCACCTATTCTCAAAGCATCACATTCTAATAACTTTGTAATTACATGAATAAGTCGTGATTATTTACCGTTTGTTCCTATACTTATCGCATGTGAATCTTTATTATATTATAAGGTGACATTTTGATGTAAGATGTAAGCTGAGTCGAATGTTCAATAGATGTTTAACTCAATCTCATTTGGTCTTTGTTGTATAGGTGTCTCATTGGCATTCATTTAGCATCTCCATATATCCAATTGTTAATATAGTCTAACGTTTGATTTTGTCAAGTTTTATCGACTTCCCCCTTTTTATATTTACTTTGAAGTTCTGTATTTTTGTTCATACTTTTTTTCATATCAAAAGGGCAGACTATCACTAAACTCCGTATACAAGAAAAGTATCATACATCCTTGAAAGCTTGTTCCTTACAATACAAGGTAATTACTTAACTTCACAAATTCCTCAGGCAAAATTGACCTTAGATGGACTCCGCTATTATTCAAGGTAATTTTGGTCATACAGCTCTTCAACTGTTTCAGTTCATATATATCCCTAGCTTTCAAATATTCGGCTTTGACCGTCCCTGATGAAGGTTAATCCAGAAAAGCGCTTCGGACTCATTACATGTATAAAGTGTTGTTTTTATTTTTTACAATTTTTAAACACCGAAAATAATTCACTTATGAAATATGTATTATACATGAATACAGTACGCATTTATCCAGATTATTCCAGAATCCATATGTGTTGACGTGGTATTTATATCTGCTTTACTTTAATGTCACTTTATATTTCAGGGAAGGGTGATTTATTTGGTGCTGATATAAATATGGACGACCCAGTTGGAATTTCCTGTTGTGACGTCAGATCGTTGACCTACTGTGAACTTCAATGTATAAATATACGAGGATTTGTAGATGTGTTATCACTGTATCCAGACTTTGCGGAGAAATTTCAGAAGGACATTCGACATGATCTGACATATAATCTCAAGGATGGATATGAAGATGAAGAGGTATAAGCGTGTTTTGACATTACTAGTACATGTATTTTCATTGCAGTTTAAATCCTTTAAATCCATTACATCAATTGGATAAAAAGTAAAATCACAAAAATACTGAACTCCGAGGAAAATTCAAAAAGGAAAGTCCCTAATCAAATGTCAAAATCAAAAGCTCAAACACATCATACGAATGGATAACAACTGTGATATTCCTGACTTGGTACAGGCATTTTCTTATTTAGAAAATGGTGGATTGAACCTAGTTTTATAGCTAGCTAAACCTTTCACTTGTATGACAGTCGCATCAAATTCCATTATATTGACAAAGATGCGTGAAAAAAACAAACAAACACAATAGGGTAAAAATGTCAAAAATAGGGGTACTGCAGTTAACATTGTGTTACCATCTTAATCACTATAAAAACAAACAAATGTAACAAAGAGGCACAAAAAGGCATACATCAATTTATCAATCATATCCTCATTTTGCATTTTTATTATACGATTTTATTTATCTATGTAAAATCCACCCATAAAGGATGGAAGGTTTTAAGTACTGAGGTAGAATCATACAGTCTAACGTTTGATTTTGTCAATTTTTCCACCTTTTTTAATTTACCTTGGAGTTTGGTGATACTTTTTTGAATGTATGCAATTTACTGATGTTCAGTTTATGCATCAGAAGGCGACAAGGTGAAAGCAAACAATACTGAGAATTGAAAAGGAATCTTAAACGCAGCAAAACCAGTTGTTCCGACAGGGTACGCATCTTATGCTTTACATTTATCACCCATCATACGATTCGAAAGTTCCCTGTGTATAGTATGACTTGACATATTGTAAGATTAAAACTCAAATCATCAATAAATGGTTTTTTTCATTTTCATTTATTGACTTGGTGTTGTCTGGTTTTTATTGGACTTATAATTTTCGATGCCCCCCTGGATATTGTCTCGCTCTTTTGTATAAATGGAAAGTCATTTCTGTATGCACTTATTTCTTGCCTAGCCTACGAGGTCGCGCATCTTATTGATTGTTTATCAGAGATGTATTTTGTTCGATTACCTGGACACTCTCATGTCGTATCTTCATAGATTGAAGACCTACCTGTTACTGCCAAGATATGGTAAAGTTATATAATCAATTGAGATATGTAAACACCATATGTTGTGGCAGAGTGTATATCATTGCTGAAAATTGTGAAGTTGACAATTGAAAAGTTGAAGTCATCATGTTTGTGAATTGGCAATCATTTTATTTTGGAGTTTTCCATATTTGTCAATATCAAGGAAAGGTCGCAATATGCACTAGTATCTTAGTATCCTTAATATCAAGTTTACTTGGCTGTATATGAGGTTCAAGCACTTTTTGAAATGTGGGTTATTGAATGACAAGGCATCATCAATATATTGTGAGGTGAAATAAACTATTTTTTGCGAGATACTTTTTTGTTTTGTTTCTGAGAAGGTTCTAAATGAATTATATGAATGAAAGAACAGTATTTGGTTCATATGGATTATGCCTAACCAATGTCCCGACATAGTCCACAACTGCATCCATCAGTAACCTGGATGTTTCTTCCAGTTGATGCCTTGATGGACTTGGGGATTAGATATTTTGAGCCTTTCACTCCCAATATCTATTCATCTTCATTGCTTCCGATGCTAGGGCGTATTCGATAAAGGTTTGGAAAACAATCGTCTGTCATGTTCCCGGATATCGGCAGTTTACATGGTTTTTTTAATCAGAAAAATTCTTAAATTAAGATAGAAGTGTACCTTTAGACGGAGCAAATGATTAACATAGCACATAACGTGGCCTACATTTTTTTAATTGGAAAAGGTCTTTAATTGAAGACAGAAATGTATTTTTAGACTTGGCAAAATGATTTACATACCACATTGTACAAACGATCGATTATTCATATCAAAATCATAGAGTCAATGTCTGAAAATATCTCAATAAGCGTTTACTTCTGCAGAGAAACGACACTCATTATATTTACTGACATTCACACAGAGTAATTTCTATTCAAGGTATTGATAAGAAGTATAATAATCTTCTTATCACTGAATGGGTTAATTAGTACCATTTTCTATATAACCTAGCCCAAAGTAGATTCAGGTCGAAATGATAAGGCTTTGTATAAGTTCACGAGACAATGGTATAATCCCCTCATCAAGCGATTTAAAGAAATTGTGATACATGCATATTAATCAGTGACTCTAAAAGGACAAATCACCTAGAAACTTTCATATAAAGTATCAAATAATAAGGTCGCTGAAGAGCAAGAAGCAATAATTTTGAAAAAGGTTATCAGCGCAAAACTAAAACATAAGATTTATTCATGACCGATTTTCAGTTTTTAGTATTTGATTGATTTTATAGTGTCAAATATACAAGAACAAAAAAAAAATCGTTTTCAGTATTTAATTGATTTAAAAGTGTTAAATATACAACTTTATAAAAGAGTATCCATATAGCTGTAAACAGCAACTAGACTCGTACAACTGACAACATTTTAAAACATATTTAGATTTTACCCAATAATGACTTTACACAAAAGGATTTGTGTACATTTTATAAGCACCTAGTGTGTGTTTAAACATGTTCAAAGTTTAATAGCAACATGCCCACTACTCTTTTGGTCGAAAGTGACGTTTTCAATGTTTATCACTAAAGTCGTAATTCAGTCATTTGTGATGATTGCAATCTTAGATTAATACGAGACTAAAAATGAAATGTTGTGATTTATTTTGGGACATAGTATTGTCGTCTGTTTTATGATAAGTTACTAAATTATGTTATTGAATCCTTTTTAATAACACAATGTTGACTGCTGTTCCCCAATATTTATCATATTTACCTATTATGTCTGTTTGTTATGCTCACACATTGTTGTCAATATAATGGAATTCTTTGCGACTGCCATACAAGTAAGAAGTTTAGCTCGCTATAAAACGAGGTTTAATCCACCATTTTCTACATTAGGAAATGCCTGTACCAAGTCAGGAACATGACAGTTGTTTTCCATTCGTTTGAAGTGTTGATTTTGCCATTTTATAAAGGACTTTCCATTTTGAATTTCCCTTCGAGTTCGGTATTTTTGTTATTTTACTTTTTACAGAAGTTTGAAGTGTGACATTGTCTATCTTATTTCCTTTAAGAACTAAACCAAATGTGGTGCAAATTTTTGTAATCTATTTGTTCTGAAGATAAAATTGTCATAGTTATTTTTGATCTTTTGATTTTCAATGCTCTTCAATTTCGTTAGTGATTTGGCCTTCAAACAGTTTTGATTCGAGCTCCAATGATCATTGTATTTATGATGGTTTTTTTTATTAGTTTATATTTTATTTGCTATGAGTCTAAACCAAATACCTGGTTATTTTCTGGTTAAAAATGAAAAATTGCAGAAAGACTTTGTGAATGATTTCAAGATAGCAAAAGGAATTCAACACTCATAAGTCTAGATAACGTGTATATTTCAAAATGTAATGCTCATATGAATTCAAGGGCCAAATAGCAGGGAAATACTACTACACGTATATTGCTTCTGATGTGTATGTTCTTTTATACGACTAACACAGAAATTTCATACAGCTTCTTGGCAAGTGTAAATAAAGAGTTTGTACCCCTTTTTCTAAACATTTATGAATAACAATAATGGATATCACACGCTGTTGTGATAAAATATCCGTTAACTTTCATTTTAAAATGTAAAGTAGGAAAATGATATAATATGTTTAAAAACTTCAAATTGTAGAGTGAAGGAGAAACAAAACTTCACAGGATAATAACACTGCCATCTATATCAGAAGACGACGAGGAATCGGACAGTGATGGGAAAAACGAAAGTCCAGCCAGTCCAGATTCCAATGTCGACGGAAGTCCCACGTCCCCATTTCGTAAACAGAACTTCCGGTTTCCATTACCTAATGGAGATATAAAAACAAGGTAAGAAATTAGTGTTTTACTAGCTTTTATGGCTATTTTGTTTAACTGAATAATAGTAAGTACCTACATTTTTATTTGCCTAGCTTTTTCTCATTTTCTGTAAAGACATCCCATGTCTTTCAACAAAGATATACATAGAGTATTTGATCATCATAGGAAGAAGAATAATAATGTTTATGTTTAAATTTAATGAATATCAAATGAAAATAGCACTTTAGAAATTATTAATGTATCAACAGGGAATTTTAAAAAAAAATATGTTACAAATCATGTCAGTACCGAAGCACAGTCCACTGAGCTAGTGATACCCTCTGCGTTTAACAGGGATATTGACCCAATGCTAGTAAATGAAAGTAGCACGTTGTAAATTCCGTGTGACAAACCTTAGATTAGAAATTTATAAAAAAGAGAATCTACAGCGCACAGAAAAACAAGAAAAATGAGATTGTTGAATTTCAATTTTCATGTGTATTACGGTGATAACATGTATGTAAAATGATGTATTGAAAATATCTAAGACAAATACCAGGCTTTATAATTTTGTTAGCCAGACGCGAGTTTCATCTCATCAGTGCCGGTCGAATAAATAAAACTTGTAAGGCCAAATAAAAAACAGATTTTAAACGCATTTAATTAAAAGTTCCAAAAGTGTATGCCACATCTGTCTATGGCAATCTAGGCACGGCGGTAAAAACATGAGTATTATGAATATTTCAATATATTTCATAGCCAGTAACTTTACCTACAAATCAGACTGCATATATCTCCGATAAAAATATTATATCTTCGATCTTCTTTATTGACAGCTCTCCGGGATCAAATATGTTGTTTGCATTGTATAGGTGTTCTGATTGGTTATTCAGTAAGAGTCCGTGTACATACCGATACACGAATTTATACTAGATATATTGCTAGTGTTTACATGGTTCATTTCAGAGAGGATACTCTGAAATTACGTTTTTGTAATATCTTTTATAGGGAAAAACGAGTAGCATTTGGAACTAAGCGCTCCCATAGTTCATTTTCTCCAAAACGACGATCTTCCATAAAGGACCGACGGCGATTAAACTCAGCGACAGGTAAAAAGTCTAATCCTTTTTTTGTTGAGTTTATATATGTTGCATCAAACAATTAACCGATTTTGTCCTTATCCCGATTGTTACATTGCATGGTTTGTGATGCATGCATATATAACAGGAAACGCTTCTCTGTTGGCGCATTCTTTCTAAATCCTTCCGAAGTTCATGTCATTCCCTCTGTTTCTCTTTTATTACATATATTTTGTTCATTCTAATCGATTTAACATCGGTATACAACTGTCGTCTTAATTTATTTATGATACAAATGCATTTTAATAGATCAGATTGCTGATGATTGATCTTTTTTGTATTTCGAAAGGTTTAGAAATGTTGACTGGTACATGCAGGTCACATAAAGCTATTCAAAAAAGCATGTGATCGACAAAGAGACGTGGGAGATATCAAAGGGAAATTCAAACTCAAAAGTCGACTATTTACATACTGGCAACGCCTCGACAAAAAACAACGAAAACGGACAAAAAGAAACAACGTAAAATAGTACTCAGCGAACATGTTACTTCTATTTAAAAATAAAAGATTATGATATGACCTATAATGAGGATCAAAACCCATACTGTATAGTTAGCAATGAAACGGCATGGCATGACAAAATGTGAAACAATTTAAAACAGAAAACCCAACTGCCTGAGTTAAACCACAACAATTAAAAAAAAACAAATAGGCAGACATCAACCTATCACTCATTTATAGGCTCCTGGTAGATACATTACAAATGTGACAAACGTGTTGATAAGTGCTCTATCCTCACCTAACCTGCAACAGTGGTGGAACAGCAAAGATCAAACTTTTAAAATCAGTTGCAAAAGACTTGAATCATCCGATTGACACTACGCACACATGAAGCACTAACAAAAAGACAAATTATGTCTGCTTCTAATCCACGAACATATTAATTTGATATTTTCCTGTTTAAAGTATAATGTTTTTCCATTGGATTTTTTTTTCAGATTCAGGGAAATCAAATGATCCTTTATCAAATTCTATTGATAGTTTACAAATAGAAGTAGAAGGAACAAAAACAAACATTAAACAGTTAGAGAAACGAATAACGACGATCAGTAACGAACTGTGTAGTATTGGTGGTAATCTCAAACTTGTTGTTCAACTGCTGACCCCTAACCCTAGTCTCCATTCGGAGTCACCACCATCGACGCCATATTCACCTTATGTAAAGCCATCTTTTTCATTCGGATCACCGACTAGTGAGGACATAGGTATCGAATCTATGGACAATACATCTCTAACATTGGGCGTGCCTAGTCCTGGTTACAAACGACATTCAGGTGATAGATTTAGATCACCTCTCATTGAAAAAAAGCAATTATTGAATAACACTTTAGCTCATATCTTTGCCAATAAAGACAATGATCGGAAACCGGATGATACCACAGAAACGGTCAATAGATTTCTTAAGCTTGACCTGAGAGACAATTTGCATAAAGGGGATTGTGTTCCACCTATTTCGCCTATTCCAAGAAACAATAATTGTGGCTCTCCTACCTGTATATCACCTTGCCCGAGAACCAGTAGAATTATAATGGAAAACCCATCTCCATTGTCTCCAATTTTAAGACACAGTAAAGTGTCGTCGGAATGTGCGTCGCCTCTCTCTCCGTCTTCAAGAAATAGTTTGACTACGCATGCGTTTAAATCACATGACAGTGGAAAGCAATCTGTAATTGTGACGGCTGATAGGGCTAAGGAAAACGGGTATATAAGTAGGACGACAGATCTTTAAGACACAGTAAAGGGTCGGCGGAATGTGCGTCGCCTCTCTCTCCGTCTTCAAGAAATAGTTTGACTACGCATGCGTTTAAATCACATGATAGTGGAAAGCAATCTGTAATTGTGACGGCTGATAGGGCTAAGGAAAACGGGTATATAAGTAGGACGACAAATCTCTTAATCATTTGTATTTTGAAAGTTCGTAATTATTTACAATTCCTACGTGGCATATGTTTAATTACGTTTGATTAATATTATATTTTACTAGTTTTATTTTACATAATTGTACTTTACATTTTTAAAGTTGTATTTGTGTGATATTATATGCTGAAACTAACTATAAGATATAAGGGAACAAACCATCTCTTATCCATTAAGGGCATACGATACAGTTTTGATCCCAGGATGCATTTTTTTACGTAAATTTGCATACCATCCATTGTTTATCTAGTCAATTTGAATATGTAATAAAATAGATATATCTTCAAGTGCTACCTTTAGAGATAAATGGGGTCGAAATTTTAGACATTTACTAAAATTTATTGTGTTTTGGTAGGACAAATTTTGGTTTTTTGATCAGACATACATATTTTTTGTTTCAAAAGATAAACACAGGCGACTTTTTGAAAAAGCATTCGGAAAATCTTATTTACATAAGTATTCTCTAAAATTGTGCAACAATTCATCGCAAATTATTCTTCTTTATTCATTGTTTGCCGTATATATATATATATATATATATATATATCTATTTTTTTTAAAAATCATCAGGAATTTGTTCATAAAAATTGGTAAAAATAATCTTCATACATAATCACGCCAAATGCCATTTTTAAAAAGAGGGGTTCATGTACACCATTTCAAGCTAATGGTTAAAATCAGTCAAAAAATGCATCTTTGTCAGATATGCAACATTATGACGTCGCAAAATAACTACATTCACGTAAGCAACGGCATTAACTCCACTGTAATGTATCGTATGCCCTTAAATTGGAATTTATTAGAATGTCGGTCTGTTTTCTATTAAGTGTAATGAAATTAATGACTCGCATTTTATAGTCATTGCATCAGCAAACGTTTCCACGCCGTGTCAATTGTGCATCTAAACGCCTTATATTTTGAGACGTCTGAAAAATATGTTATACATATTTTTGTATTTTCTGGGTCTAATATTCTAGTTAGGTTTTTCTATCATAGGAATAGACTTGTTGCGATTTAGGGCTAAATTGACACTGAAATAAATTGTATTTGAAATTTTCTCAAATTTGCAAAATAAATGTTGAATATATGTTCCAGTACTATGATAAAACATCGAACGTTAGTTTAAAATAGTTGCCAGTCATTGTTAAAACAGACATGAACAGACAGTAAATTGAGTAAAATGGCGAATTAGCAAAGACAATGAGACAATTTGACTCTCAGATAGTAAGAAATTATATAGAGCACGAGCCTCGCCCAAAAAGATATTTGCACAAGATGTGTATTTTGTGTATATCTATTTGCTGACAAAACATTAGTTTTAACGACGCATGTGCTCTATTCAAATTTTACCATTATTTTCCAGAATTTAGCCTACATGTATTTCATGCTATAATTAAGCAAATCCCGACTATGGCGTAATTTCAATGACATCAACAATCCAAAATGTGACGTTTTCAAGACTTACCTAGTTCATGATTTTTCCTGGTATTTCGCTCATTGTAAATAGATTGTCATCTGTTAGACATTGTATAATGACAATGTGTTTATTTATGTTACATGTTCAATGAAGCTGTGATAATATTTATTGTTATGTAATGTTTATTGTAAAGGCCAATTCAACTGGTGTCTGTGTTAAGCAATACATGATGCATGAGTTAACAGGAACCTAGTTTCCTGCTTCATTCTTTCTATTTTCCGTATCAGCTTCCTGTTATTAGGAATACCCACATGCGTTACTGTTTTGTGTTGATCGGTCCTTAATTAATTACTTATTTGAAAATTACGTCAAAACATAAAAATATATTCAATTGTTTATATCTAACAAAGTATTGTCAATGTAATAAATACACTATGATTGTGTACAGTAACTTTACCTATTCATGAATTCCTATTGAAGAAAAATGGCAGTTATTTTGCCGGAATTTAAAACCTTTTTGTCAACAGACCTTTAATAATAGAATAATGAAAACAACATGGTCAAAACCGGTGAAATCTTAATCTAAAAAAGGATTAATCCCCCTCTACTAGAATTTAATGTGTCCATATTTTAATTTAGAGCTGGTAGATTTTTCAATCCTTTTGATGTGATTTTCACCATGCGGTCATTAAACTTTCGAGTACATTTATCGTACTCAGACTCAGAATACAACCAATCAAAATACTGGATTTGGTTTTCGAGCACAAATGGTGTAGTCCGAGAAGTGAGTAAAGTTTTATGACCGAGAGCCCAGTCTACTACACAGTATAAAATCTTTTTGAGAAACTGCAGATCAAGCGCAATTTTTTCCCACTTTCATAAGAAATGCTTGCATTATCTTATTTAGATATAAGAAGATGTGGTATGAGTGCCAATGAGACAACTCTCCATCCAAGTCAAAATTTATAAAAGTAAACCATTAAAGGTTACAGTACGGTCTTCAACACGGAGTATTTGTATACCACCTTCAGATAAACCCCTATTTCTTCTGTGTTCTAATCTACGACTATGTTTCCCTTAACCGATCCTCTACAGAATTCCGATGATATTGTTTATAGTTTTATAAGTTCATAGCCCGCCATATTTGTTAATTGTTGAGAAATTAACCATTCCATGAAAATATTTAATTACATTCGCGTGTTTACATATCATTGTATTGTTTTATGTAATGGTTGCTGAAAAAATATTCTTTTTGTTATGCTAATTAAATTTTTTGAGATAACGTTAATCTTCTGTTTTTCATCATATCGATATGACATGTATATAGACATACTATATATTAAGAGAGAGAAAATGTCACATGATTTAACATATTGTTTTGTTTGAATTCGTTAAAATATGGGTTGAAAATTTTTATATCCAATTATCTCTATACTGTTTACATTTTATTCAAAATACACTCAGACGCAGAGTTCCTGCGTAACAGGAGTGACAAATACATATACTTACACATAACATAGAGACCAAATGGACAGTAACATTGGTTCTATAATAGAACTCATATCATGATATAAGCCCCATTTGGTTCGACAGAATAGTCTATTGCATGCATCTTAACATCAGCTGTTCGCAAAGAAAGATAACCGTGGCGTTTAAAAGACACAAATTGTGTTCAATTTGAAGAAAGAAATGTAAGGTGGCAGATTCATTTCAGTTTCTTTTCGAAAATTTAATCATTACACAGTTCATAAAAACCAGGTGCCAGATAAACGAAAGAGTCCAAGACTTAGACATGAACGATGGTCTTCTGATAAATATGTATACAGTCATCATACGTCTAGAAATTGAAGAGTTCATTATAGGCGTGAAATCCTGAAGTTGCAAACTAAGAAAAAGTTTGTAGGTATCTTAAGAGCATTCTAACAAATATTTGAAGTTCAAAATAATTTCATTTTATGTTTGAAAACATATTTATTGTGTTGGTTAAATTATGTTTAGTGGTATTTGTACTGAGGTCAGCCATTGTAAAAACACATCAAAGATACCGCTAATGATTTAGTACGCCGGACGTGCGTTTTGTCTAAATAAGATTCATCGGTCATCCAATGTGGAGAGGAAGGGATAAAAAAGTAGAACACATGTAATAATAGAGGATAGGTTGACGTTATTTCAAGATATAATATGTGTGTACAAATACATGTATTTGTGTGGACTAATTTGGTAAAATGTCATCAAAGGTCCCAACTTGAAGTTTTTAATCTTAGCACGCAATATACAATCTCAGACAATCAAATATGGTGCTTTACGATGTGTATACTGTGGAGTCATTTATTTTCGTGGATTACAATTTACGTGGATTCAGAAAACAATTGTATTTTCAAGGATATTTGTCTTCATGGACTTCCCAAAGTCTATCTGCAAGTTTATAGTAATATAAAAATAAGGAGATATGGTATGATTGCCAATGAGACAACTATCCACCTAAGTTCAAATGAAGTGGATGTAAGCAATTATAGGCAACCGTACGGCCTTCATCAATGAGAAAACCCCATACCGTATGGTCGGCTATAAAATTCGAAATTCGAGGTTCACATTTACCTACAAAATCCACCATAATTGTTATCCCACGAATTATAATAAACTACTAAAGAACAAAGTACAGTTTTTTTACACAAACTTCTGTATGACATAATGTACAGCAAGTGCTTCAGACGACTTTCTGATATTTATATTAGTTTGTGTAAGCGTTTAAAACAACAAAATTGTCACATTTTTTTTCTTGAATCTGTTTCTTCTTAATCCAACCATAGATGTATAAACCCATGGGTTTATACATCTATGATACATCTATGATACATCTATGATCCAACATGCGCACGCCTTTAGAGAACAAAGAATGTATTACTACTAATTCAGTATTTCCATTTTATAAGTGTGTTATGACAAAAATGAAAAATAATCCATCATAGATAGTTAATATTTTCAAGGAGCAAAATTGAGGAAGTTTTTTTATTTTTTTGAGGGAATAACATTTACTGGTCATGTTAGTTAAAGTAATCATGAATCTAATACCCATGTGCTTGTTACTTTATATTATAGATGTATAAACCCATGTTTATATCTTAACTGATGAGGGTCTGGATTGGGAGGGGGTCCTACATTTCTGTGTTCTATATTTTCTTTAGGCCATTTTTCTCTATTCGTTATACATTTTGCCCATTATTCTCTTTTCTTTATATTTTAGCACCTCATTATTTCTCTCCTTTTTTTTGTTCAATTTTTCTCTATTCTTTATATTTTTGCCCATTATTCTCTATTCTGTAACCCCCCCCATCCACACCCTCACGAATTGTTGGAAACATATTGACTCTGGTCAATTTAATATTTTTTTTCATTTGGAGAAAAAAAATATAATGAAATACATACTGACTTCGCAACATTCTCTTCAAGTATAGAGCGGTGTGCGGTGGTACCTGTCGAGATTAAAACGTCAAATAATACAATGTAAAAATCGTGCATAGAAAGTAAACACTTGTATTACATGGTTAGATCTAAACGTGTTTAGGATTGTGTTTTATTTCTGAACACATTTCTCAGTAAGCACATTAAATGTAAACATGTCTTGAATGTAAACGCTTTTAAATGTGTTTAGAATGAAAGTGTTTAGGAATATTATTTCTAAGCTAAACAAAATCCTAAACATAATCCTAAACACATTGTACTAATACACTATTAGACCAAAACGTGTAAAAAAAAAGTGCACAAAAATGTGTTTAGAATTGTATTTAGGATCTAAACACCATTTTTACAGTGTACAGGTCAGTTGTACGGCGTATAACCGGAAGCTAAGAATTTTCTTTAAATAGAAATAAGGTGATGATTTCCATTTACACATAGACCGAAGCACAAGGATGTACACAACTAAAGTTCATGACCTTCAATTATATGTAAAACCAATACCGAAACCTTCATACTTGACTCAGGAAGCTTCTAATACAGGAAATAAACAAACTACTCTTTACAATCGCCAATTGTTGGTAGCAAAATAAGTTCAACACTTATCTTATGTGACACCATGAGACAATTTAAACGACAATGGTAGTCTGTAAAAACATATAAAATGTAGCTGGTTCATTTAAAGAAACCCTTATATACGACAGACAGAGACACAGATAGAGTATTTTATATAGTGGCACATACCAATATAAAAACAATATTATACATCATAACATATATATAAATAAAAATACAAAAAAATATATTTAATCAAAGTTGAAATATCGGTATCCAGCAACAACTGACTTATGAGAAACTTTCAATTCCTAATATAAGAGTTGAAGAATACCTTTAAACTGTGTTATCCATTATATAGAGAATACTACATGGCAAAATCCGTATCACATGCTGTATCATCCCGAGATACCAATATCAGCCCGAGGGCCGAATTTGGTGTTGAAATCAGAGTCTAGAAGTGTGTAATTTATGCATGTGCGTTTCTAGATTTAACAATAAGCTTACTTTATATAAATTTTAATTATTTTTTCAGCACCGTATGTTGACACGTCAGTGGTTGTTTTACTTATATATATTATCTAGCGAATTTGGTGTTGAAATCAGAGTCTACAAGTGTGTAATTTATGCATGTGCGATTCTAGATTTAATAATAAGCTTACTTTATATAAATTTTAATTATTGTTTCAGCACCGTATGTTGACACGTCAGTGGTTGTTTTACTTATATATATTATCTAGCGAATTTGGTGTTGAAATCAGAGTCTACAAGTGTGTAATTTATGCATGTGCGATTCTAGATTTAATAATAAGCTTACTTTATATAAATTTTAATTATTGTTTCAGCACCGTATGTTGACCTCTAGATTTCTTTTCTCTTTCTTTTTGTCGTTTGTTTGCTGTCCCATTGACGTATAGACTACATTACATGGATGATTGAATTATGCATGCAAAACGTCCAGCGACATATATATAAACAACTATATAATGCTTAGTCGGGACGGTAACAAATGTACAATCATTAGAAAGTGCAGGTTCTGCAAGGTAGGCAGACCGGAATGAATGGCGACAAACTTGGACTGGTATTGTGAGGGTATATGTTTAAAAGGGGCAATACGCAACCTACGGACCCCTCAGAGAGGAATTGCAAGAGTTCTATAACATGTAGAGTGTTTGCAGTTCATCTAATAAGGCCCATTTGGTTTAAGGTAGATTCACTGTATACCGCCATCTTGGATTGTACAATAGCACAATCGGTCTAGTTCTTTGCCTAAATCTGTAAATTTTGAGACAGATTTGCAATTTATTTGTAAGACTGTTTATTTGTATCAAGAAAAATAAGTGATGTATTGCATTATCTAAAATGTTTAAACAAATACCAAATATTTGTGTTTTTAGAATCAATTTTTCAACTTAGCCAAATAAGGGGAGATAACTCGTATAGTAAAAATTTATACTGAAATATTAGTGAAATTTTCATTTTTTACTTGTAGCAAGAAAACAAGTTCGGTGACACCATTTTTTTCTCTTTATTCTCCTAAGGTATATTATAAAACCTATATTCTCATATTTATTTCAAAATTCTATCTCAAAGAATTCTTTTCATTCACAAATATGAGTTTTTTCATGAATAATCTATGCAAATTTGGGCAATTTTGCACGACTTGTACCTTGAAAAATAGCACAGTGACCCTTACTTTTTATTATATTTTTTGTAAAATGCATAGTAAAATCTTCATTTTAGCAAAGTATTAGAAAATTCTATCTAAGGAAAAATATACCGATGATCCACCTTAACGTTCAGAAACCGACCGAACGCTGCTGCGCATTTAAACATCAACTTCAGCAAGGTCTTTACAGAAAGAAGGGAGAAGTCCAGCCTGAATGAATGAATATCTTATTTCTCAAAGTTGCTTTGTAAATTCTTATGATTCACTTTTAAGTTCTGGTTATTTATTTGATTGTTTATATAAATTAATATTTAATATTTATATAAATACATAGCGTTTCATCTCAAAGTATTGAATGCGATACCGAAAAAAACACTGAAATATCTCATGTTGTGAACAAATTTACCGATTAACAGACTCATAACCGTGAACTCAACCCGGAAGAATATAAACAAAACGTAACCTATATTTTCACTTAAGATAAGTCGGCGTTAACTTCATAACTATAAGATATTGGTAAAAAGTTTATCCGTACTATTACATGAAGAAGAAATCAAGATGTTTCAATTTGATTTCATATATTTACTTGGATTTATAATATGTGTTTTTAAAACATTTTCACCGGTAAAAACTTTAGATTGTATCCCTTTACAGTTAAACAGCACAGTAAGTGATTTATTTGTAAACAATTTATTATTTCAAAGTTGTGTATAGCTTCACTACTGATAAACAAATATGATGACTGTGTATGGTTTTCCAAGAAGAAAAATATCAATTTTGTTTGTAAATGACATATCAAAACAGTGCTGGAGTACTTGTATATAGTAAATCAGAGAGTCATAAGTAAGAAAAGGCGACAGAAAATATAAGCTCAGATTGGCCGAATTGATTTAAGTTCATTACAATTTGATTATTCTATTGATCTTAAATTAAGTCACTTGAGAGGAAAAAACATAATGTATGAGGCGATTAATATGAGAAAAAAAATAGTCGTTGTGGGTAAACGTTACTGTGACAGAAACCCGACGATACACACATACACTAATTTCAACAGATTTTACTATTAAACATTTGACCCACATTTTACTCTTAGAATTGTGGTTTTAATCTGAAAAATATTTATCAATCAATCAGCCGAATTTATTTCTCTACCATGAATTCAAAAGTTATTTAAAAGAGAAGCGAAAGATAGCAAAAGAATAGTCAAACTTTTAAAGCAAAAACAAACTGACAATGCCATGGCAAAAAAAAACTGACAATGCCATGGCAAACACAAACTGACAATGCCATGGCAAAAACAAACTGACAATGCCATGCCAAAAACAAACTGACAATGCCATGCCAAAAAACAAAGTGCCAATGCCATGGCAAAAACAAACTGAGAATGCCATGGCAAAAACAAACTGATAATGCCATGGCAAACACAAACTGACAATACCATGGCAAAAACAAACTGACAATGCCATGGCAAAAACAAACTGACAATGCCATGGCAAAAACAAACTGAGAATGCCATGCCAAGAACAAACTGACAATGCCATGGCAAAAACAAACTGAGAATGCCATGGCAAAAGCAAACTGACAATGCCATGGCAAAAACAAACTGAGAATGCCATGGCAAAAACAAACTGAGAATGCCATGGCAAAAACAAACTGACAATGCCATAGCAAAAACAATCGAAAAAAGGCGAAAACACAAACAACAGTACTGGCAAACAAAACAACACGTGATCAACACGAACCAAAAACCGGGGGTGATTTCAGGTGCTACGGAAGGGTTATTTAAGGCGATTGATGTGTAAAATCTTGAATCAGCGTTTTTTCTCGACATAAGCATGATAGGACCTCTTTTTGTGACGACACTGATTGTTTAAATCTAGAGAACCATTAACCCATAGAGAATTAATTTGGGTACCTGTTCAAATTTCAATTATAAATGCGCGTATTTTTGTTTGTCGATTAAATGATTACTAATTCGTTAACCGCATGTTTAAACTTCCTTCATTTTTCACTCCTAAAATCATTGAAACGGAAAAAAAATATATATACATACTTGTATACTGGGAAATCAATATTTAATAAGAATGTATCAAATGTCATCCAAAAATTTCACACAAAAACAATAAGTACTTTATTTGTTCCTTCTACTACGCACGGTATACCTATATATAAAGTATCATATGTTTTGAATCTCATTTTTGGGTGAAAACTATGCGAAAAGCTAATAAGATGATTGAAATCTGCGTTGAACACACCACGTACGTTACTGTGTTGTGTTAATATTGCATGAGGGTGTGGGCGGGGTTTATAGAATAGAGAATAATGGGCAAACAAATATAGAATAGAGAAAAATGGGCAAAAAAAGTAAAGAATAGAGAATAATGGGGTGGTAAAATATAAAGAATGACTGCAAAAATTAAAGAATTGGGTAAACATGTACTGATTACAGAAAAGAACAATGTCCAGGATACAGTTATCAAGTAATTACAGGATAGCCATTATTTTTAAAGATGAAGAATAATGAGCGAAAAAAATTAAAGAATTCAGAAATAATGAACCTCATCCATACCCTCTTGCATTATCCATCTTGTTGTTTCTCTTTGATTACGTTAGACTATAGTAAATTCTTTTCCGAGAAAAGAACTTTTTTTCCGAATAAGACCTCCTTGGTAAGCCATACTAAACAGCAATCTAATTGAAATATAGAACTCGGATTTCGTTATACTACATACGTATATAGTATAACGAAATCCGAGTTATATATTTTAATTAGATTGACTAAACATATTTAACTGAACAAATAATAATTTTTGTAACGGTATATTAATTTAGGATAAAGGAATGAGGAAGTAACCCGGATAATAGACAACGTTACACTGACGATATCAATGTGCACCTTAAATCTTAAGAAATTTCTATCAACTAGATTTTTAAACTTTTGTGAAATTTCTATACAACTTTTATTCAGTGACAAATGTGGAAATTGTTTTTTTCCCAACTGCGTAAAAAAGTTAATAAAAACGGGGCAAATAAATTGAAATAAAATTTGTTTTAATTTATAATTTTTTGTTCGTACGTCATTATGATTCTGAGGAGGCAAACATCAACAGGAAGCGAAACGTTGAACAATTCAACTTTTTAAAGAAAGAAAAATGAAAGTCATCATATCTCAAATTGTATAGTTGTTATCATTTCAGGCTTTTTATAGGATTTTTACACAAACCTATTTAACTATATTTAAAGGTCGAATCGATACACAAAAATTTCTTCAAAATATAACACAGATTTCTATAATACATGTATCGACAAATATTTAAAATTTTTAGTCATTTTTCATGCAAAAAAGATGAAACGTGCAATTTGTTGGGGGGTATGATGTTATATTGGTTCTTACTCCTTTTATTCAAAAATTAGTCTTTGTTTACAGTTGAGAAACTGTGCATCCTTTAGTATTGGTCGTTCTTGGGTTTTTTGAGAGTTTGCTGTTTTCTTTTTTATTTCTTAATTTAAAAAAAAAAGATTTCTTTATTATTACCTTTTTTTTCTTTGCATTACAAAAAAATATAATATTAAAACAATCTACATGTGTTGTGTATTTCTATGACTGAACTTTAATTCACAACTCGGAAAGGAAGATTACTTTACTGTTTGAATTAAGAACGAACATTTGACCACATTGACAATATCAAATTATTTCATTTTCATTACTATTTCAAAGTTGCCTGGAAGTTTTCTTAATTTATGAACCGTTACTAATCGTATAACGCAAAAAATGTGTTCCAAATGCTAAGGGAAAATAATGATAAACGAGCATTATTATATGCATTCCATATATGATAAATCTAACAGTTGATAACATATATTAAACTTTTATACAACCTCTTATCAACTGTATTGAATTGAGTCATTTTTTTAAATGTCATATTGAATATAAATGTAAAGATAAGAAGATGTCATATGATTGTCAATGTGACAACTATAAACCAATATCCACATGACGTATATGTAAGCAACTATAGACTAGCGTACGGCATTTAACAATGAGTAAAACCCAAACCGTATAGTCAACCATAAAAAACACCGGCATGACAAAATGTGAAACAATTCAAACGGGAAAACCAACGTCCTGATTTATGACAAATCAATAAAAGAAAAAAATATGACAGACACCTACCAACGACAACCACTGAATGTCAGGCTCCTGAATTATTTTAAATGCATAATTATCATTTTTACTAAATTATTCCACTGGGAAACACTCCAATAAGTAACTATCAATACTCTTTTATCCGATAACTTTTGATAAGAAAGAAGAGGTGACATGGGGATACTCATTTCCCAAATCCCGCTTTTTTGGTAATTTTTTCCCATTTCCCACTTTTTTACCCCCTATATCCCACATCCCCACTTTATTTACCCCCTATATCACACATCTTCACTATTTTTTACCCTTTACATCCCACATCCCAAAAGCGTGTATCCCCCCCTCAACAAAAGTTGTTCAAATGACACGCCAAACAAAGGCGCATATTTAATGTTTTTATAACTTTTCATTTATCTTTTTTGACCTTCATAAAATCAACGTTGAATTCAGAAATTTAAACATAGTTGAATAATAATTGATAAATCACTTTTAGTTCAAGTTGAAATAAGGGTTAAAGTCATTACAACACAGGAAAAAAACAATAGGAAAAAGAAAAAAAAATCTTGTCGAGTGGTTGTTCTTCCTTGTGAACTGCCCCCTTTTCATCCCCATAGTAGATGGTTATAGCAAAACAATGCAACCTATCATAATTATTCTATTTAACAATTAAAGTTAATGTATTTGTCAAAATCATTCTTCGTTAGAAATGCCTACATGTAGTTGGATATTAATATTTTTTTAAAAGATGAACCTTGCCTTATCTCAATATGTATCTTTTGTGTATGCGTAAAATTCCAATCAACAAAGTCTATTTTAAAACAGCGGAGCAAGATTGCACACAGAGTGTGATTAAATGTAATCAGTGTAATACGTTACAGACTGGAAAAAAAATATGTTTACGAAATAATTATCTTTATAATAAGAGTTACGTTTTCTTTTCCTTTTTTTACTATCTGTGAAGATTTAACTTATTTTAGAGATCAGTGAAGTTGTAAAGGCACCAACCATTCATCTTTTGTGTGTATGGATAAGAGGGACATGAGTTTTGTTTTAGGTTCAAACTTTTTATTAGACTTTAAACAAAAACAAACTATCTTTTTCAATAACACACAGAACAATGTAAGACATGTTTTTAAACTCAATGCTGTAATGGCCTTATTATCAAAGGTAACAACTATTTTAATAACTTCCCTTCTGAAATAAAATTCTTTCAAGAAATTTTGAATCAAACAAATATCTTAATAAAAAGAATCCCCCTTTTCCAAAGACTACACTACCAACAGTATTTGGTTTCTATATGAATTATTTCTAAACCCAACTGAATTCTAAGTATATTAAACCCGGTATCGTATGACTATACTATATGGATCAATTATAGGTAAAAGTTATTTGTTTGCACTGATAAACCCAGTTTTAAATTTCACCATATTAAGATGGGTATTCGGTACAGTACATAGATAACAAAATAAGTATAAATCATAAATCAGATAAGTAGACGATCTTAACTCAAAGTATAAATATTCCGTCTGACTATTAGACCCTTGCCAGGGGATCGACTATTTTGTGGTATGAATAAAAAATAAACCAAACCCAAGACACGAGTAAGGGGTGAAAATTTATATTCCCCTAATCATTGAATATTTATGTAATATTCGTGCTATCGTGAATTATGGACCTTTTAATCAATGAACATCTTTTTCTTTCAATATGAAATATCTAAAATACAGCCAAACAAATTGCACAAGTTTCACATTTTTGTACAAATTGCACAAATTTCACATGTGTAGTCAAACACATTTCCGTTTAATTCCTCAGCATGCAGACAATAAGTGTCGAGTTCTCTATATTCTGATATTGCTGTTTGAAAGAAGTCTTCTTGCGAACTTGAAAAATAAACTTTAAATAGATAATTTCTTGTCCTGTCATTATTAGTTTTCATATCTTTGATAAATGCCTCCAATTTTCTCCTTTTGCTTCGCTTCCTTTTTCAAAAAATTTACAGTAGATTCATTGATTTAAATGAGCAAAATAAATTCATAATTATATATTAAAAAAAGAGGAGAGAGATACCAAGGGGGGCATTCAAAACTCTTAAATCCAAGAGAAATTAAAACTGATTCCTAAAAAAAATGATTTGAGATTTGTATGTTAGAAAAAAAGGATATGGGGTATCCATCCATGACACGAATTCAGTATATGCACAGCAAAAAACACAAAAAGCAAAGGAACAGCGCTTTTATTGCTGTTCTTCATCTCAAAGTCACATGTGTTGTATGTAGAAATCACAAATGAAATGACAAACGCTGAAATCCTACCACTACTTTATATACGCCATGCTCTAAATATAAACGAGTTAAAAAAAAGATATAATTAAGCAATGAAATTAATACTAAAATACATGGTATCGATAATTATAAATGACTTATTAAAAATAAGTAGATAGAAAGTACTGTAAATATTTTGCGTCGATTTATTATTGAGATTAGTGTTAAACAATCATGGACACAAACGCGAGATCAATTATTGCGATTTTAGGAAATGCAGCATACATAATATTATCAAAATTAAAAATGCGAGTTTTTATTTTTGCAAAACCCATTTATACGCAAAAGATTTACGAATTTACAGTTATAAGCTAAATGAACTTTCTTACAAAAATTTCCATGAAACATGTTTTTTTAAATGTCTCAAAAGGAGATGGAAAATGTAAAAAAATAAAAATTTCTAAACAATTTGACACACTCTCAAAAACGACTTTTTTGTAATTATCATTTAGAAAAACGGCTCTACACACACAAGATTAAAAAAACACGCAAAATGGTTCATAGTAGACTAGTGCCATTTAAGACATAATTTAAAAGATGTTAAAATAAGGAAATATAGTATGATTCCCAATGATACAACTATTCGCCAAAGACAAAGGATAGAGGATTAAATAACTAATGGACTAGAGGCTCCCTAGCTTTCGACAAGCTTTATTAAACGAATCGGGTTGTGTTATACCTATATAAGACACCAATACTATTTTAAAGTACGGGCATTCGTATGTTAAATTCAAAACATTATAGAATTGAGAATGGAAATAGGGAATGTTTCAAAGAAACAACAACCCGACCAAAGAGCAGATAACAGCCCAAGGCCACAAATGAACCTTATAAATAAAAGGCAAACTAAAAAGGAAAATTATAATCAAAAACGGTGTATTGCGAAAAGACATCAAATACAAAAATAGACTGTATGCTTAGTTTAATTTTTTCTTATTTCAGACACCCGTTAGTTGTACGGCAACTTTATACAAGGGAGAAAGTAAGCACAATTCTATTATTTTTTTATATATATGTAGGAAGAGTTACATTTTTAATCCGCAAGGGGAATATATTTTACAAGGTTTTATTCCATGATTACAATCATTTTGTTGGTGGATCTTCTAGGGTTAACATTTGATGATACAAGGGCTTTAACAAGAGTAACACGACGGGTGCCATTAGTATGGCAAGAATCGATGACATTTGTTGAAACCCTGATTCCTCAAGGGTAGGGTTCTTGTTTCTGAATCTTTAGTTTATGTATAATATATTTTGAACGCTGTTTGTATGTTCGTCTTAATGTTTCTTTAGATATTAGTGTTGTCTGTGTTTCTTTTGTTTTATCTTGACAGTGGATTTCGTGCTGGGTTCTCTTAAAGGCAAATGCATAGGTTTAGATACATAGCTACGATCCTCTACTATATCATTAATCGAATATTTTCAAGGATTTGTGATTCGTTAAAACTTGATCACATGTTCATTTGTATTTACTCAGTTTGCACGCCAATACTGTTGTGATTAGCTTTTCGTAGGCCAAAAACGGCATATTGCACAGGGCATACATCATGTTACTAAAAATACACTCTAGAAATCCCCAATTTTACATTGTTCATGCAATAGTTCTTGATTAATAATATAACAATTGTAGCCTTTGGTTGAGGTCAATACGATGTTATATCGACCTAGAGAAGCATATCAACATCGGACTTCGTCCTCAGTCAATATGCTTCTCTTAGGTCAATATAGTTTAATATTACATATGGTGTAGCATTCTACTGTTTTCATTGGATATTACGATCACGTTATTCAAAGGTTATTTTACGTATCCGAAGCCTTGTTTCTATTTTTATGTATATTGACGCTATGTTTCTATTTATATGTATATTGACGGTCAATATTATACAGTTATTTAATATGTAACTATGCAATAGATCAAAATATATTTCCCGAGGTATGAAGATCAGCTCATTGTTCTATTGCCCGAAGCCAACGGAAAACATGGCATCATACATTTTATGCAGCTTGGTAGGAGTAGCCAAGCTACGTTTCGCACCTTCTAAAACATTAATTACTAAAGACGAGAATGTATCCACTTTAAAGACTAAAACGCCTGAACAACTGGACTAACAGTATTGCTCGACTGTGTCAAGGCAACTAAATATATAGCAACGTAAAAGGCTTTAGCTGGTAAAATGACACCGTTCAATGTAGCCCAATTTGTCCATCGTAAAAAACTATGATAATATCCTTTTGTTGTAGAAACTGCTCGAGATTCCGAAAGTAATTCTGGAAGTAAATTTACTTTACTAACTAATGAGACAGGTAGATTCTGCAATTCTCCAGCAAATGCCTGCAAAAATATATTTGCAATTGAAAGGAAACATTAATAATGAAAATTATTTAAAATTATAACAATCAGCTAAATACTACGAATCTAATTGTCACTGTAATATTCGCCACTGTCAACACAAAATCACAATACAATATAATCCTTGTAAAACTAACATTCTATATGAAGAGATCAAGAGAGATTTATAATACATGCTCACATCAAAATGATCTAACTGGATGAAAAATCCATCCTTAATGCTAACATGCGAAACGTTAAATCAACATTGCCAAATATGGCCTTCTTACTCTTACCAGCTATATAAGCATTTTTGTAAGTAGGAAGATCTATAAAATTTGTCACCTCAGAAATGAAACCATCACCAAAAGGACAAAGCACTGGCCAATAACTGGCAGAGGGCCAGTAAGGTAAAATTAAAGTACCAACAGCTTTACACTGCCGCATATACATTAATACGCGTGGAATCAAAGAAACAGGTGGAACGAACAACCCGTTGATCCCTCAAAGCATCAACACCTGACGAATTCACATTCCAAAATCTAGAATAAAAACATTCAATTTAAAATTGTCGTCATAGGCAAACAATCAACCTCATGAGGTCCCCAAAGGGTTTCAATTATCTGAAATACAAATTCAGAAATTGCCCAATCATCTGAATCAATAATCCTACTAAGATAATCTCATTCTCAGTACGTGGGATCCAAACCATATCTATATTAACATTGTGTTTAATACATGTGCTAAAAATGTCTAAAGCTAACTTTTGCAGTACTGATTTAGTGCTCCCTTTACTAACAATACTAACAACATTTTGGTTGTCAGTAAACCATTTTACATTCTTGCCGCTTAAAAAGTTTATCAGCGACAAAAATACATTTTTTCACAGCATTTTAACCCGTATTGCTTGCATCACTATATACAATAGTCTGCCAAGACACATCAGTCTTAAAGGGTTTAACATTGGCTTCATGGAAATTAAACCTCCAAAAATTAATTTGATGAATACTGTCTACAGATAAATGTATATAACTGTTCCATGAATGAACACTATTAATGTCAATAGACAAATGTTTTGTCATTAAATATACTATATTGCCTATAACGGGAGACGTAGATATAATCTGTCCTACCAAGGAAGCTACCTTCCTTACTAATACTAATATGTAACAAGCAGTACTGAGACCAAACGGTAATACTAGAAATTTAAAATATTTTTAACACCGTTAAACTCCTATGCAAATCCTAGATATTTAGTGTGAGGCGGGAAAATATCGACATGGTGATATGCAGAATGTACGTCATACTTAAACATATATGAATTGGCATTTATATACTAGTAATGTTTTGCAATACGCATATCTTCAAATTTTACACTCTGCTTCCATAAATGTCTTTTTATTTCTCTCAAATCTAATATTAACCGTTTTTTGTTGGTTGACTGAACAGAAACAGTTAAAGGATTCACAACAAATGGAATATCTAACGTCTCCACAATTAAACCTCTAGCTAATAAATCAGTAATAGCCGATCTTGCAAAATCTGCATTATTCAAAGCTGATAAATTATTAGACAAATAAATTGATATTGGATTTGAATAGAAAGGAAAAATATAACCATTTCTTATAGTATCTATAATAAATTATCTATCCAAAATTGAATGTTTTTGCTAAGTCTACCCTTAACAATACTATTAGATTGACCTATTTCATATTCAAAATAATTATTGGTCAAATTGCAATCAATATGATTATCTACTAAAATGTCTTGTGAAAGTTAAAGATAATTAAAATACTCATCTTTCAAAAATTCACTGCGGCCTGGTTTGGGTGGCTGGTTTACTACTGTTGACATACGGACAGCTGGACCTGTAGTGTGCGTAGGACCCACAAGAGTAGCATTGTCCCCTCTGCATCTTTCCAGCGTTGAAACCTTGCTGAAGGGGAATTCCATTGAACCAAGGTCGCTGAGGCCCACGAAAGGGCTGCGGAACGAAGTTTGGAACCCGTCCTAATAGAGACTGATTTTTAGCCTTAGTTTTGGAACCATTTCCTCTAACCTGCTTAGCCTTCCCTTTTTCTTGCGGACAGCTCTATTGTCAGCTCGGATAATTTTTGCTTCATCCTCAGAATCACTTGCAATAGGATTAGCGTCGTATTGCCTAGCGGTATCCCAACCTCCCTCGGAAGTGTCAGCTATTTTGATGAGTTTGTTACGATGCTTAATTTTATCTACGGTAGATGATAACAAATCTCGTGCGTAATCTACCTTCCCATTGTCTATAGCCCACAAAGTCTGAACAAGATCCTCGAGATTTTCAGTATTAAAGTCAAATTGGATCTTATTACCTTCGTATTTCCATTTATAGGAAGCGTCTGTTTTAAGTTTCTTAACCTGGGATTTCATCAACTGGCTGGCACCCTGCAACTCTTCTCTTAATCCACCAATTTTCTCCGTCACTTTAGCATCAATAATTGCCTCGATATCTTTACTCTGTTGATTTACAGCAGTTAAAGCAGTTCTCAGCGAGATATCTGGTTCACCTTCATAATCCATGACTAAATTCGAATGTACTTAAATCGATAAACACAACTAGAACAATAAACGTGACCGATCGAGAAGACCCTATCGTGCCGAATGATTTAACCGCCAAATCACATAAAACACATAACCTAAAAACGCGACCTATGGGCAGACAATTCAGAAGAAAATAATTTCATTCTAATTCTTAAAATCAACCGATTGAAATTATATGAATACACAGAAAGAACATTAAACGCCATTTTCCTAATACATTATTTACATATGTAATATAAAAATTAAGGACTTTCACTCAGTCAATACGTTATATATGTACCTGTTATATTATATTGACACGCGGACTTCGTCCTCGGTCAATATAATCTGAACAGGTCCATATATAACGTATTGACCTCGTCAAAAGTCCATAATTGATAAATATGAACTGATGTTTGATTGTTGTTCACAATACTGATTAATATGAACTAGTATGTTGTAGTTCACGATAAAGTTTTATATGAACTGTTGTTTTGTTGTTGTTCTCGACCAAAATACCGCAAATGGACAGAACTGGTCCCCGGAGACCCTATATGTTGTTTTTGCAATCTTTCACAGATTGTACGGAAGCTGTGTTGGAATCGAAGTACAACCATTTGTATGGCAAAGATCTCTATCCGGGATGTCCCGATGATCTACAGTTAAAACCCATCATGGAAATTCATCCGGGTTGGCCAGATGCTGGGTATCGTCCAGGATTTGTAGTAACAATAAAACCTCCACGCACAGGTAAATATAACATGTAGTTACAATAAAACCTACACACACTGGTAAATATAACATGTAGTAACAATAAAACTTACACGCACTGGTAAATATAACATGTAGTAACAATTAAACCTCCACGCACTGGTAAATATAACATGTAGTAACAATAAAACCTGCACGTACTGGTAAATATAACATGTACCAACAGTAAAACCTCCACGCACTGGTAAATATAACATGTAGTAACAATAAAACCTCCACGCACTGGTAAATATAACATGTAGTAACAATAAAACCTCAACGCACTGGTAAATATAACATGTAGTAACAGTCAAATCTCCACGCACAGGTAAATATAACATGTAGTTACAATAAAACCTCAACGCACTGGTAAATATAACATGTAGTAACAGTAAAACCTCCACGCACAGGTAAATATAACAGGTAGTTACAATAAAACCTCCACGCACTGGTAAATATAACATGTAGTTACAATAAAACCTCAACGCACTGGTAAATATAACATGTAGTTACAATAAAACCTCGACGCACTGGTAAATATAACATGTAGTAACAATAAAACCTCCACGCACTGGTAAATATAACATGTAGTAACAGTGAAACCTCCACGCACAGGTAAATATAACATGTAGTAACAGTCAAACCTCCACGCACAGGTAAATATAACATGTAGTAACAATAAAACTTACAGGCACTGGTAAATATAACATGTAGTAACAATAAAACCTCCACGCACTGGTAAATATAACATGTAGTAACAGTACAACCTCCACGCACTGGTAAAAATAACATGTAGTTACGATAAAACCTCCACGCACTTGTAAATATAACACGTAGTTACAATAAAACCTCCACGCACTGGTAAATATATCATGTAGTAACAGTAAAAACTCCACGCACAGGTAAATATAACATGTAGTAACAATAAAACTTACACGCACTGGTAAATATAACATGTAGTAACAAAAAAACCTCAACGCACTGAGAGATATAAAATGTAGATACAGTAAAACCTCCACGCAATGGTTAATATAACATGTAGCCACAGTAAAACCCCCACGCACAGGTTAATATAACATGTAGCAATAATAAAACCAGAGTGTGTTATATAAACGTAACAATTTCACTCCCAAAAGATTAATAAAAAACGAACGATTATAAATGTGTTAACTGAACCATTACGTAAACGAACGCAAGTCTGTAAAACAGACTTTTTTCTATTTGTGAGTGAATCGACCAGTTTACACACCAATAAATAAATTCATCATAGATACCCTGGAAAATGCACTATGTAGTTTTTTTTTGTTTCTCGTTTGTTTTAAAATATAATAACTTTGCAAAGACTCAACTACGCACACAAGAATTGGTTTGTACAGCGCAGGATTTGAAATAAAGAAACAAAGCCCTTCAAAGGGAAAGTCCATAAAAGCACTGATAAAATGGTTTAAAAAATATCTATAAAATTTGAGAATGGTCGTCAAAGTAGTGAAAAAAATAACCATATAAAAATGTAAATATCAAGCAACCAATAATATAGGAGAAACAACGAGAAGCCATTACATTCCTTATGATAACAAAAAACCTGTTGTAAGTACGTTTACTTACTATTATTTAACGAGGGTTCAGTGAACGGAAATATGAACCAAAAATTGTTGTTTTATCGAAACTAACACTTCTTACCTTAAATTATTCCACGACTGACGACAGGAAGTCAACACTTTTCACAAGTACATGTATAATGTAATGGTGTTGCACTTAAAAAATTAGATACACATATTGAGAAAATTTCCGAGACAAATTAAGGTTGGAAAGTGGCATGTGTACGAAGTCACGAATTTATACAAATTTGGCAATACTAAATTCAGGAGATCAAGCCAACAAAACAATATTTACTCTGATTGGCTCCATTCTTGAAGAATCACAAATATTAAAGTGTTGTCTTGCTCGGCTCGCCCGTATTTAGCACCATTCATGTATTTTCGAGATTTTCAATATTTTGCATGTATACAGTTTATAAAGTTTTTTTTTTATGAGTATATAAAGTTCAAAGATTTTTACATGATATAAAGTGAAGAATATGTGGTATGATTTCCAATGAGACAATTCTCCACCAGAGACCAAATACCATAGAAACTAACAACTATAGGTCACCATACGGCCTACAACAATGAGCAAAACCCATACCACAAAGCAAGCTATTAAAGGCCCCATTAGTTTGGTTGAAATGTTTTTGTCTTTGTGAATTTGGAGTGTATTATTTACAGTTATTCGCTACTGTTCAAACACCATAAAAATACAAAATATCTACGTAATTTTTCATTGGAATACTTTTCCTGTCTCAATTCTAATGCCATACTTTAATTTTCAAACTGAGTATAATTATTAATTTTATATATACAAAAATCAAACCTTTAAGATGATTGTCAGCAGGTATAGGAACATAATAATAAAAATTCTCTTTTCTGAAATATTAAAGTTTCAAATAATTAATTTTCTCATTTTAAGGGCTTTCATAAAATAAGATCAAATGGTTTTACCTAGTACACAAATATACTTTGAAAATCGAAGATCTGAAAGATTGCATTCACCAGCTAAAAAAAAGGGACAATAACATTATCAGGGTTGGTTTGCATTTATAAACTCGTACTGAACATGTGCAGTATATTTGCCATTGGACGTTTAGCAAACAAATCAGGGTTGCCTTTGGTTTTAATTTATAAACTCGTACTGAACATGCATGAAATATTTGCCATTTGACGTTTAGCAAACAAATCAGGGTTGGTTTTAATGTCTAAACTCGTACTGAACGTGCATGAAATATTTGCCATTGGACGTTTAGCAATCAAATCAGGGTTGTTTTCATTTATTAACTTGTACTGAACGTGCATAAAATATTTGCCATTGGACGTTTAGCAAACAAATCAGGGTTGTTTTTTTCTTTAAATATTTTACTTTTCAATATAAATGAAATGCATGTAAAAGATACTCATTCAAGATACAAGGCTTATAGTTTTGTAAGCTATACGCACTTTTCGTCTACAACAGACTCGTCAGTGAAGCTCGAATCAAACAATTTAGAATGTCAAACAACTGACAAGTTTTAAAGAATAAAACAGATGTATGGTAATACAAATAAGAAGATGTGGTATGAGTGCCAATGAGACAACTCTCCATCCAAGTCACAATGTATAAAAAGTTAACAATTATAGGTCAAAGTACATGTACGGCCTTCAACACGAAGCCTTGTCTCACACCGAACAGCAAGATATAAAGGGCCCCAAATGACTAATGTAAAACAATTCAAACAGGAAAACCAACGGTCTAGTATATATAAAAAACGAGAAACACCTATGAATCACACCAACAAACGACAACTACTGCACAACAGGCTCCTGACTTAGGACAGGTGCATAAAAATGCAGCGGGTTTAAACGTTTTAACAGGCACCAATCATCACCTAACCTGAGACAGTAGTGTAACATTACAACATAAAAAGAAACACTATAAAATATCAATTGAAATGGCTTAATTCGATCAAGTATGATTTGCATGGGAAGTATAAAAACAGCCTTGTGTAGCCGAGGAAATAACTTGTCTTGATCTTTTTAAGGAAGTTCAACTTCCTTATATTTTGTCACACCATTGTAACCACATAATCCTTACCACTAGGGAGAGCATAGAGTGTTTTAAATAATCAAATCATTTCCGAATTTTTGTGGAAGTCAGTTACGTATTACTAGACTAAGATGTTAGACTGTACATAACAATATGTCATATTGTTGTATCCCCCCTCCCTTGAACTATACTTGTCGACAGAGCGGATATTACAATCGGGAAATGATAACTACACTTATGTTTGATTTAAAGAAAATGAAAATTAGGAACAAATATGATATTTACTGAAAAAGACTGACAGGAGATACCCTTTGGGGACAACCTAAAATGATAAGTTGATTCAGAAGAAAATAGCTAGACAGTGCAATGCCCCCCTCCCCACGACATGAAAACAAAGAAACAACAATCTACGAAACACTACACAGAAAACTAAACTGAGCTACGGAAACTCCACAAAAAACCGGAGTAAGCAGATCCTGCTTTACTAGTGTCATCCGTCGTGATCTTTTTGGCAAGTAAAATTTCGATCACAAGTCGTGTTAAGATTCGAAGTCAGAAACTGAGTGATATACTTGTTGTACTTTATATTTTCAGCTGATTTCTTGGTTGTAAAAGGATTTCAGTTGGATTACCAAGATAACACTGGAAGTAAGAGATGCATAGTGTTAGAACTTGTCAACACAACACTTACAGCAATACATAAGAAGGTATCGTAAACGGGAAGCTTAATACCAAACTTTATGATAAAAGAGATGATTTTTCATTTCCTATTGTTAATTATCCATTTTTAGATGGTGACGTTCCCTTGTCACCATCTTATGGTGTTTATATATCTCAACTTGTTCGATTCGCTCGTGTGTGTAACAACGTATTTGATTTTAACGAAAGAAATCTCTCTATTACTGAAAAATTATTACACCAGGGTTTTCGATATCATAAACTAGTCAAAACATTTACTAATTTTATCATCGGTACAAGGACATCATTCGTAAATATAAATCAGCATGCAGACATCTTATACGTTCATGTATTTCACATCCAATCTTTTATCATGGTAATATTCTATACAAAGCACAACAATGTCGTCATTCACTCCAAAAGCTAACCAAATCTTTAAACAGACTTATTCAGAAGGGATATAGCTACGATACTGTTGTCAGGTCATTAAAGATGGCATATTATGGAATTAATATTGATTCACTTATAGGGTCTTTGCATCATTTATTCTAAAACCAGTTGTTGACATGATACGGGTTATGTTCTTCTCATATATGTTATGATGGTATGATACTAAACTCCTAACGGGAGGGATTATGCTTGATTTTCATATGATGAAGACATAATCTTTCAATCAGTTTAATGAGGTCTGGCGCTGGCATGTTAGTAACTGCTAGTAGTCCTTTGTTAATTTATTTATCATTGTCATTTGCTTAGTTTCTTTTATTACCTATTCTGACATCGGACTCGGACTTCTTTTAAACTGAGTTTTACTGTGCGTATTGCTGTGTGTTTGTTTATTCTACATTGGCTAGAGGTAAAGGGGAGGGTTGAGATCTCACAAAACATGTTTAACCCCGCCGCATTTTTGCGCCTGTTCCCAGTTAAGAATCTATGGCCTTTGTTAGTCTTGTATGTTTTTTAATTTAAGTTCATTTATATGTTTTGGAATTTAGTATGACGTCCATTTTCACTGAACTAGTACACATTTTTGTTTAGGGGGCCAGCTGAAGCCCGCCTCCGGGTGCGGGATTTTTTCGCTGTGTTGAAGACCCATTGGTGGCCTTCGGCTGTTTTCTGCTCTTCGGTCGGTTTGTTGTCTCTTTGACACATTCCCCATTTCCATTCTCAATTTTATGTAAATTGTGTAGCAATACGTACAGGCGGAACAACATGTAGTAAACAAATTAGGATTGTTTATTTACTGTAAAATATATAAAAAAAAATCATGTTAAGCAGTAATTTGAATAATGAAATTGAAAACTTGGTACTAGAATATATTTTTGTAAACCCATCTGTCCTTATACAATGAATTGAGGGTGAAAGAAAATTTCCTCATCCCGAACCTATCCCCCCCCCCCCCAAAAAAAATCAAAAAAAGAATCCCAGATAGATTCCATTGGCAATGTAGTCCATTTGATGTCTTTAAGTCTTTCATAAGAAAAATTATGCATTATACAATTCTAATAAAATTTTGTGTGGATAAAAGAATATTAATATAAATAAGAAGATGTGGTATGAGTGCCAATGAGACAACTCTCCATCCAAGTCACAATGTATAAAAAGTAAACAATTATAGGTCAAAGTACGTCCTTCAACACAGAGCCTTGGCTCACAGCGAACAGCAAGCTATAAAGGGCCCCAAAATGACTAGTGTAAAACAATTCAAACAGGAAAACCAAAGGTCTAATCTATATAAAATACGAACAACGAGATACTTTTAGACTTTATTGCAAACTTTTAACAATAAAAGATAAAATCTGGTTTAATTCATCATTTCCGAATTACCTATAGCCTTGTATGAATGGATTACTGACTGTACATCCACAAGGATACCTATCACCTTGTATGAATGGATTACTGACTGTACATCCACAAGGATATCTATCACCTTGTATGAATGGATTACTGACTGTACATCCACAAGGATATCTATCACCTTGTATGAATGGATTACAGACTGTACATCCACAAGGATATCTATCACCTTCCAAGTAGTTATAATCACTACTATTATTTATAGCATAAATTGTATTCATATTTTACATTATATTTGTAAGTTTAAAATTGATTAACAAAAAGATTTTAGCCCCCCTGTAGATAGTTGAAAGAATTTATTTTTGGTTAATCTGCTGTTCATAAAAGCTTTTTTTATGGCATTTTAGTTGAGTAACAGATTTTTTAAAATAAAATTGAGCAAAGTAAAACGTGCACCGTTTGGTTTTTCGTTTTTTTTATTTCCTTCAAATTTCAAATTCTTTATTATCCTTATCGTAGGGCCCTTTTTGGAAATACAAAGTTTGACATGCTCATTCATCCTCTCATACACTACTTTTTTTTAACTCCGCTCAATTTGATTAAGTTACTTATGTACAACAACAACATTGGTGTGGGAGAGAAATCCAGCTTGGTGGATAAAGAGAGATAACTCTATATTTATAATTGACACTTTTACAAAGTAGAGGATAGTTCAGAATTCGGATTTGATGTTTTAGTAAAATCTTGTTTCCTTCGTTGTTCTTTTTTTTATTGCTTTTCTTTTTCACTATGTATTAGATACAGCTATACAATTTTTACCCCAAAGATATGTTTAACGTTTTTGTATAAGAAAGATGAGTTTTATATAAAACTACAGAGAAACAAACTTCCTGCGTTCACACTAAACGTCTGACAAAAAAATGCAACAACAGTGAATGTATGCTTTTTTCAAATTCAGAATGGTTTGAATTTTCAAGTGAAAATATATCCACTGGCACAAAAAAACAGAGAGTACATCTTCACTGCATACAGTCTACCGACACCAAAAAACAAAGAGGAGAAAGAAGTTCAAACCAGATATGGACAAACTAATAAATGGGGTAAGATTTCTCCGTTTTAGGGTGTTTTTTTTTTTTTTTGGAGGGGGGCGGGGGGGGGGGGGGGGGAGACAAGAGACATTTGTAAAGCATTGTCACGTGATATGCTTCATCTATGGGTTCAAACAGAAGAAGCACTGGTTAATGACCTTTCAGGAGCACATGAGTTCATCAGCAAGTTTTTTGGGGCTTCATGTTGCTCAATCTTCATTTGTTTTTTTGTAAATTTGGGGTCTGTTATTTGTCTGTTTGACTGTTTGACTGTTTGTATATTTTTTTTGGCCATGTAGGTGTCTGTATTATTAGTTTGAATGTCAGCTTGGTATCCTATCCCCACTGATTAACATAAAATTTTAAGATTACTAGTATGTCTTAAATCAAAATCACAATAATTGCATTACAATGATATCAATAGCATGGTAAAAGGTATTAGAAAAAAATCCTATCAATGGAACATATTTACTCTGCATCAAACATCCAAATGATACTTTTAACACAATTAGTGCAACTACTTGAATCGATTCCTTTCCGAAACTACCGAGTACACTTCCCTTTTTGTGGGATTCGTTCTTTGGTTAACTTGATAACGTTTTGTGCACTAGTACATTTTTCATTGTCATAGGATTGCTGTCTGATTAACGCGTCTACCTACTTCGCCTATTATTCGTGATATTTGTATTTTCGTCTTTTTTCTTTTTTCTTTTTGACATTGATTGGTGTTGTCTTGTCTTGTTCCTTGACTTATGATATTGGACCCCAACCCTTCGACTCACCGGTCTTGGTATCTTCTTGATTGTTATAAGTTCATCACAGTTGTTGTAAAAGACTGCGGAGTAGGTAATCTACGGTCTTTATCGAACATGAATATCATCACGTGTATAATCGAGGTATCATCACCTTTATAATGGCTGTATCATCATCTTTATAATCGGGGTATCATCAAGTGTTTAATCGGGGTATAATCGCGTGTACAATCGATGTATCATCACGTATGTAATCGATGTATCATCAAGTATGTAATCGATGTATCCTCACGTATATAATCAGTGTATTATCACGTGTTAAATCGGTGTATCATCACGTGTATAATCGGTATTTCATCACGTGTATAATTGGTGTATCGACACGTGTATAATCGAGTTTTCATCTAGTGTATTATCGGCGTATTTTACGTGTATAGTCGGTGTTTCATTACGTTTATAATCGATGTTAGATCACGTGTATAATCGATAAATCATTACTTGAATAATCGGTGTATTATTACATGTGTAAAAGGTGTACCATCACGTGAATAATAGGTTATCATCACGTGTGTAATCGATGTATCTTCACGTGTTAAATCGGTGTATCATCACGTGTATAATTGGTATTTCATCACGTATATAATTGGTGTATCGACACGTGTATAATCGATGTATCATCGCGTGTATTATCGATGTATCATCAAGTATATACTAGGTGTATCATTACGTGTATAATCGATGTATCATTACTTGTATAATCGGTGTATTATTGCGTATGTAATACGCTACCATCACGTGTATAATAGGTGTATCATCACGTGTGAAATCGATTTATCATCACGTGTGTTATTGATGTATCGTCACGTGTATAATCGGTGTATCGTCACGTGTATAATCGAACAGTTGTGCTATTGAATGGATAAACTCTGAATTGTAAAATGTGTCTAAAATTTAGAAAAAAAGTGAAAACGTACTTAGAATAAGTCTTTTTTATTTGCGCTAGGAATGCATTCAACCAAGCTCAAATTTCGACATTCAAATGTATTCTAATTCTAATTCATATTACTTTATTTAATAAGTGTTTCATTTTCATAGAATTGCAGTCATCAGATCAATGGAGAACGACAATTGCCTTCTATGTCAACCCGAAAGACAGGTTTATTGACTTCCGGTTTGTACCAGCTCCAGCAGATTTAAAATTCTACTGGTATAACATAACATTGTCCAGAATTGTATCAAATGAAGGCAACGCTCTAGAGGGCAGACATACAGTATCATCTACGGGGACAAACCTAGTAAGAGTCTTCACAAATTAAATTGATGAATCTATATTTTAAAAACACAAATAAAGAAATATTATGTTAAATCCATGTACGTCAATCAATTAAAAAGAAAGGACGTGCAAATTACCAGAAAAACCTTTTTGTTTTTAACTCTGACGGTAAATTTGTATTATACAATAGCAAAAAAATAAACTCATCATAGAATACAGACTAAGAATATTGCATTTGTTTTTATATATGTTACATGAAATATCTACCATTATGATACTATGATATCCACAACCAAGGGTAACACACCACTTTTGTAACTGGTCTGTACATTTGATTTCAAGTTTTGATTCTTAATTGTTTTTTTTTTTAGTTTTTCGAGTGAGTAATCGGTGTTTAACGCTACTTTCAGTTTTTTTCGAGGATTGCATCATTATTAACAATATATAGACAATACTTTATTATTAAACCTCAGGCACATAGGTGTACAAGAGGACATCATATATACACGTATACACATTTTTATACTCAATACATTTACATTACACATAATAATGCACGCATGCATGGTAAAATACAGCAAAATGTCAATTAACAAGTTACCATGACATTCAACTCAAAAAAGACAAATATTAAACATAAGTATCGTGTAAGTATTTTTAAAAATATTGCTAAGTTTTTGTAAAGTTCTACATGACAAAATGTTAGAAGCTGTTTTAATTTGTACTCCGTTGGATTTGCAGTATAAAATTCTGGTATATATTTATTTCTAAGCAGTTTTATTTCCTGTTTTTGACATTTGAATAGATAATGAAATTCATCTCCTATCCCGTTTCCACAGAGATGACAAATTCGCTCATCTTTTGGTATTCTAGACCATCTTCCCGTTTCTACAGGAAATTTTAAATTTGAGCATCTGAATTTTGCTATATAAATCCTGTCACACAGCTTCAACTTGATTAAATAGGTTTCCAAACGAAATTCCTGTTTGTAATGTGAATAAAAAGCACCTCTTGAAGAGGTATTCATTTGGGAAAACCAATGTTGGATAAATTTGTCATTCAGTTTTTGTGAAATAATGTTCTTTAAACACAGTTTATCCAATGGAAGTTGATTTTGCCAAATAAAACTAATTCCATTTTCGTCAAATATGGATTAAACGTACGTAATCCATTTAAATTTTGTGGGGGTATTGAAAATGTAATTTGAGCATTAATTTAAACATAATGGAAGATAACCGAACAGATGTTCTTGGTTATAAGTGTTGTTCACCTTTGTTTTTTTAACTCCCAAAGATCTATGATATTAAGATTCTAATTCCCAATTAATTATTTTCAGACAGAAATGTCTTTCTATGACATCGATCCTGGTCATTACAGAGTTGGTGTAAGTATCAATTATCAAGTGCAGCATCATGCACTCAAATACATGAGTGTCTGTATGGGGTTTACAATATAGAGAATAACGGCCCAATACTACAGCAAAATAGGCCAAATAAATAGAGAAGAATAGGGCCAGAACATGAAGAAAAGAGAATAATGGGGTGCCTACATATATAGAATAGAGATCAATAGGCAAAAACTGTAAAGAAAAAAGAAAAGAGAAAATTACATAAAAAATGAAAGAATACAGAAAGGAAGGACCCTCAACACTCAGTGTCTGTTGCGAATGAAAAAATTATGAAACGACAACGAAGTATGATTTATTAATTTTGTATGTTAAGGTCAAGGAACAGTAAATGGGCTATGTCACAGATTTGGGTAAAGTATTTTGCATATAACTTTGGCTCGTTGGACTTTGACTGAAAATCAAAAAAATAATGCATTAATCTCTTTTATTTTCTGAATATTACTGATTGAATTCATTCAAAATAGATGAACATTTGTAAAGAAAGCTCATAAAATCGGCGAAAAACGTTCTTAAATTTGTCTTATAATCATCAATCTCAAATTTCAAATGCATAGATTTTTTCTTGAAGACTATATGTTGTTGATACATAAACTTACGTTTGTGATACGAATCTCGGCAGTTAAATTTTAAGTATTTAAAACGCTCGGCTAGCCTCTCGTTTTATATTTGAAAATGTAAATGTCGAGAGTTGAGAAATATTGTATCACACACGATGCATTAGTAGAATCTATATATACATGTGTGTATTCCTATTGAATATTCTTTAATCTAGGTACAACCATTTGACGACAAAGCACGAAGTAATTTTGAGTGTAAATGTAAAAATCTGTTATCTGTCTGTGTGTCCTGTTTGAAAACACTGACACGTGTTATAGAGATCCCAGTGGGTAAGTTGTGAAATTAATAGCACTAAATACATCTGCATAATTAACGTACAACATTAAATTACAACATTACAAAATTTACAATATAATTATATAATTCTTATATGATTTGCATATTAGGGAATACGTTGATATGATTGGTCGAGAAGACTTCCGGTAGTTGTTCTTGACGTTGTTTATTTTTCGATAGACGACGTTGACCGAACTTCTTTTTGTAACCAATGTAATCAAGATAGCGGCGATAATAACACAATCGGGCTCGACGTTTAAAAGAATTATTTTCACTTCGCGTTAATCGTTTTACTAATTGATAAACACAAAACATTCATTTGAATGATAATAAGAGTTTTTGTAGTTTATTTTTTTATCAGATAGCAAATTTCATGGAGTACATATTTTTGCTTTAAACAACAAATATATTCATGCGTCAGGCCAATTCAATGACTCAAATATACAATTTACATGTGATAGAGGTTACGAGTGTGGAAAAATAAATTCCTTATCTCCAATTTTAAAGAATTATAAGGATTAAACGCATTTTTAAAGGAATTTATTGGTGTATAAACTGGACCAAGTCACTCACAAACATGTCATAAAAGTTCTTCGGACTTTCATTTTTTTGTGAGTGAATTGGTCGAGTTTATACACCAATAAATACATTTAAAAAGGCGTTTAATCCTATAATACACTGTAGGAAAAAAAAAACAATTTATGTGTACGAAGTTTAGAAACAGAAAGAAAGTGAGGCTCGTTAACCTTTTCTCCTGTTTCGAAGCGAGTGTCCTTTAATTTTTTTAAAATTCCAAACTGGTTTCTTTGACTTCTATAGGAATCGCCATATACATGGCTCTAACGGAGATCATGATGAGGACCCAAAATTAACAGCAAGTTTAATATTACCGTTCGCTTAACATAGAGGCAGGATAACAGAGAATACAGAGACTTATTTCTATATATATTGGTATGAGTGCCAATGAGACAACTCTCCATCCAAGTCAAAATTTATAAAAGTAAACCATTATAGGTCAAAGTACGGTCTTAAACACGGAGCCGTGGATCACACCGAACAGCTAGCTATAAAGGGCCCCAAAATTACTAGTGTAAAACCATTCAAACGGGAAAACCAACGGTCTAATTAATATAAAAAACGAGAAACGAGAAATACTTATGAACCGCATCAACAAACGACAACTACTGAACATCAAATTCCTGATTTAGGACAGGTGCAAACAAATGCAGCGGGTTTAAACGTTTTAATGGTACCAAACCTTCACCCTTATCTGAAACAATAGTGTAACATCACAACATAGAAAGACACACTATAAAATATCAATTGAAATGGCTTAACTCAATCAAAAGACATATTAACACCAGTGAACATATACTGAACAAATAAATTTAATCTATGATACAATGTAAATACAAAATGAATAAACTAAGGGAAGAATAATTAAAGGAACATGTTATACCGCTGTGAAATGTTAAAGAATATAAGAAAAACAATATGCTAGAACAAAAATATCAGCCATTTGCAATTATTTAAACACAGGTAAATGCAAATAATTTTGTTGTTAGGTATACATGTACAGTTCAAATAGAGAAAGGAAATATGTTTACAAAATAAATAATTTTGATGTTCCAACATTCCAACTGACTCCATTTTCAGAAAACGACATCTGTAACAAACATAAACTTTTAGCTACCGCTTTACAAGCAGAACCAAATACAATGAAAGTCCCAACTATGTATTGGCTTCCGAAGCTACACAAAACACCTTACAAATATAGATTCATTTCGTCTTCAAGCCATTGTTCCACTACTAAATTGTCTATTCTTCTTACCAGTACACTTGGTACAATCAAAAACCTGATAATAAATTGTTCAAATAAGGCCTTCGAAAATAGTGGAATTAATTACTTTTGGAGTGTCAAGAACTCGTTGGAAGTACTTGATAAATTGCATGCATATATTGGTGATTTTGAATCTGTTCAAAGTTTTGATTTTTCTACCCTATATACCACATTGCCTCACATTCTCATTAAGAAAAAATTCACACACCTAATTAAATGGGCATTTAAAAAGTCAGAGTGTGAATATATATGTTCAAACTCTTTTAGGTCATTTTTTAGTAGCAATAAACAAAAAAAACTATGTCAATTGGACATGCTTTGATACTATATATGCCCTTGAATTTTTACTAGATAACATTTTTGTTCGCTTTGGAGATTCCGTATATCGTCAGGTTATCGGAATTCCAATGGGGACTAACTGTGCACCACTTATTGCGGACCTTTTTTTTGTATTGCTATGAGTTACAATTTATGACAAAAATCAGTAAAGACCCATCGAAACAACATCTGATACACAAATTTAATAATACTTTTAGATATTTGGATGATATTTTGGCTCTCAATAATGACGACTTCAGTATGTATACTAAAGAAATTTATCCTGTTGAACTTACTTTAAATAAAGCTAATACTAACAATGACCACTGCCCTTTCCTCGATCTTGATATCTATATCATTAACGGAAAGCTTAATACTAAAATATATGATAAAAGAGATGATTTTTCATTTCCTATCGTTAATTATCCATTTTTAGATGGTGACGTTCCCTTGTCACCATCTTACGGTGTTTATATATCTCAACTTGTACGATTCGCTCGTGTATGTAACAATGTTTTAGATTTTAACGAGAGAAATTTATGTATTACTGAAAAATTATTACACCAGGGTTTTCGATATCACAAACTAGTCAAAACATTTACTAAATTTTATCATCGGTATAAGGACATCATTCGTAAATATAGCTCAACATGCAGACTTCTTATACGTTCAGGTATTTCACATCCAACTTTTTATGGAAATATTCTTTATAAAGCACAAAAATGTCAGTATTCACCTCTGAAACTAGCAAAACCTTTAAATAGACTTATTAAGAAGGGATATAGTTACGATACTGTTGTCAGGTCATTAAAGATTGCATATTTTGGCGTTAATATTGATTCACTTATAGGGTCTTTGCATCGGCACTAAACACATTTATTTAAAAACCAGTTGTTGGCATGACACGGGTTATGTTCTTCTCATATATGTTATGATGGTATGATACTAAACCCCTAACGGGAAGGATTGTGCCTGATATTCATATGATGAAGACATAATCTTTCAATCAGTTTAATTGAAGTCTGGAGCTGGCATGTCAGTTAACTGCTAGTAGTCTGTTGTTATTTATGTATTATTGTCATTTTGTTTATTTTCTTTGGTTACATCTCCTGACATCAGACTCGGACTTCTCTTGAACTGAATTTTAATGTGCGTATTGTTATGCGTTTACTTTTCTACATTGGCTAGAGGTATAGGGGGAGGGTTGAGATCTCATAAACATGTTTAACCCCGCCGCATTTTTGCGCCTGTCCCAAGTCAGGAGCCTCTAGCCTTTGTTAGTCTTGTATTATTTTTAATTTTAGTTTCTTGTGTACAATTTGGAGTTTAGTATGGCGTTCATTATCACTGAACTAGTATATATATTTGTTTAGGGGCCAGCTGAGGGACGCATCCGGGTGCGGGAATTTCTCGCTGCATTGAAGACCTGTTGGTGGCCTTCTGCTGTTGTCTGTTCTGTGGTCGGGTTGTTGTCTCTTTGACACATTCCCCATTTCCATTCTCAATTTTATAGTACGAAAAAGTGAAAATTTATATTAATACCAAACACTTATCAAAGCTGGTATATAGACCAGATATAACCCTGAATAACATTAGAAAACAGAAAAGCATTACAATTAGTATCAACAGGTCAAATAAACAAGAAAGTACGATTTGAGAGTACTCGCAGTTACTTACAGCTAGTTAAAAGCCAAAAACAATTAATAATAAAAAATTATGCATCAGAGACTAAAATCAACTAAAACACATCCCAGGGATTTAGTATTTTAACGTCATGGACAGTCAAAGAAGACATGACTTGTGCAATGCCAAAAATAAATGTATCGACAGGCAGTAGGATAGTTAGAAGTTAACCTCTTTATAGATCAAAATGAACGTGGGTGTGTCTTTATACATCCCGTTTGAAAGAATACAAATTTAGTTATGTTTTAATTTGCTGATGACAAAATCGATATTAGTGCCAATGTATTATGTATAAACTATATTCAAAGATCTAATTACAACATTGGTAGGATAACCTTTACTAATACGTTTGTTTAAAGGTTCGATGAGTTTACACGGATCACATAGTGATTTCTGCGCTTTAAGTACAATATTACCGTAAAATTTAGGATGTAAAATACCGTTTTTAATCAGTTTTCTACAGGTACAGCCAAATTTACTAATCAAATCTTTGTATACCTAATATTTGTACAATAGGTGGCTGATTGCAGGATAAATATTCTAATTTCTTTCGGTTGAAGTAAATTACGCAGCTGAATCAAAAACATGTATTTCTGTAAATCAAAACATGGTTATGATGGCATATATATGAACAAATGATGTATGTGGAATTTGCAATACAATTAATTGTTCGAAATACTATATATTTTCGACCCCATAAATAGATTCCCTTAAGTTAGCTGTATTTAGCAAAACCTTTCAGAATTTCGGGTTGATAATGCTCTACAACTTCGTACTTTATTTTGTCGTTACTTTTTTTGTAATCGAGCGCTACTGATGAGTCTTTTGTAGACGAAACGAGCGTCTGTCGTACAAAATCATATGCCTGGTATTTTTAATTAGTTTTTTTACGAACCTTTTTAATATTTTGTATTCTTATAAACAAAAGGAATACTTAGTCTATTAACTTCTAATAATCATTTGTTTTTAATATATTGTTGTTTGAAGGATTATAATTGTATCAATAATAATATTTTCTTTTTTGTTACATGTAGATAACACCCCAAGTGCTCCGATTCCGACGCCACTGTCACTGACTGCAAAACTCAAAACTTCAGTCATTACTACAGAGTTGTTTAAAGGAGAGCACACCGTTTCTGACAAGGATGGGATGGCGGAATCAGTTGCCGTGACCTCACAAGAAGATAACCAGCCTAATTATATTGCATTGATAATTAGTATAGTCGGAATTGTAGTCCTTGTTGTAGCAACAGGAATTTGTTATACAATTTATGGACGGCGTAAGTTAAATAACACAATAGATAGATATAAGAAGATGTGGTATGAGTGCCAATGAGACAACTCTCCATCCAAGTCACAATTTGTAAAAGTAAACCATTATAGGTCAAAGTACGGCATTTAACACGGAGCCTTGGGCACAGATCTTTCATCTTTTGTGGGGCATAGTTAAAAAACAATAATTGTTTGATTTTAATTTTTTTGCAAAACCAAATTGATTTAAAAGAAAAGTAAAAACAAAAGTTTGCTTCTATTGAAAATTATAAAGCATATATATTTAAAAAAAAATTGTGCATGTATTTTGTTGATTTTTTTTTAATCAAAGTTGAAAAAGTTACTTGTTCCGAGAAAAAAAAACCCTACCAACACCTCCTTTTTTTTTTTTCAAAAGATGAGTGGCTGGTGCATATCTTACCTTATCCCACCCAATATTGACGATTTAATACCCGTAACTCTTTATTTTCCAATACAGTTGTTGTAATTGCCGATATTTTGTAAGCAACTTACCAAGTTGGCTGAGTACTGAGTCTTGTCAGATTCGTCTAGATTCTGTCAGGTTAGTGTAGATAGATGACTGTCGTCGTCTAATGGCTAACCGGAAAGAGAGAGAGTGTATCCTGGGATTGCTGATTTCCGGTTGGGGTCTGGCTTAAAACCAACAACCAATACCTCACAGTTTTCTCTTTTGATTTTTGTGATCGAAAAGGATTTTACGACTTGAGAACATCTGTAAATTACATGTACTGTCGACAGTCTGTCGTCTGCTATCTTCATATCTACGGTACAATCATCAATGTCGATCCAGTTTAGGGCCAAAAAAGAAATCTCATATTTCTTATGAACTATGATATTTTGGCATAAAATCGCCAAAATATTTTCGCCTCGATCCGCTCGACAGTATCTATTACGTTTTGTGGATATACACACGCTTTCAAAAATCCTGAATCTGCCCCTGAGTTCTTCGATCAATATATATTCGATGTATATTAATAAATGACATATACAAATTATACTCATAAATTCACTCTGACATTACTCAGTTCTGCGTTGCTTTATTTAAGAAACTAAGGTTTCTGCTCCCTCAGGTAATGTTGACCTTTGGTGATTTTGGCGATTCATTTTAAGCCCATGTTGATCATAATGCTCCTCGCGTCTTCAAATTGTTAGGTTTGAGCGTTCCTGATGAAGGTAAATCCAGAAATGCTACTAACGTAACACTTATATAGTGATATTTACTCATGTAGGAGTTTTTAATTTTCCAGGACTGAAGGAAAATAAACTGATGGATGTGTGCAGAAATTTTTATAAACGCCCTCCTCCCCATGACGGAAACAGATATGAGTATCCGACAGTTGCTGAAAAAGTACCTTACACATCAGTAAAACAAAAGGGTAGGTAATAAATATACTGAAGCGACCGAAACATTCGAAACACTCCCATGAATAGAATATCCAAAGCGTACAACAGATAAAAATAAATATAGTCACAATAACAAAGGGTAAAGGCATTTTATAAAATCAGGAGCTAAAAAATCTTGTATAGTGGTCAAAAGAATGGACAAAGGCAGAGTAAGCAATGGATTAAAAGATTCTGTATTATTTATTTACGAAATGATGGTGAGGTTATGCAACATTAGTTATTATTGAATTTATGAATTTGATTTAGTCCATTAAAAGTGGAAAATAAAGGTCAAGTACTGAAACAGTACTCCGAAGACAACATATATAAAAACCTATGAATGATCTAGCATGATTTTGAAGGAGTGCATGTTTTCTGATCGTCGCATGTATGTGGTACTATACACCATGATGTATGTGTCAAGATCCTGTCATTTTTTAAACACATAGCGTCAACATGTAAAAACTTCAGCTTAACTCTATTTCAATTTTTTTACTGAATAGTTTCGTCAAGTTTTAGAAAATTAACACATCAGATTTTAGAATATGAACATTGACTCATGATAACAGATAACTAGAAACAACAAGTGGTATATAGTGTTACTAGTATTAGTTTTACTTCTCAAATATCTTGAAATATTTGCAACTGGACGTTAAGCAACCAACAATCAATCAATCAATCAATCAAATATCTTGTAATACAATTCAAGCATGATGGATTTTCACCTCAAATAACTATGCGTCTGCCTGTAGTAAATATGACGTTTTCACATCTAACTATAACTTTAAGTATGGTAATAAGCTCATTATATTTGGACAATATTTGCATAATGTCATCACTGTTTACAACATCTTTTTAATTATATTACTTTAAAGGTGAAGGTTTGAACAATGAAAGATTGATTAGTAGGAAAAAAGTCGCAGTCATTGCAGCAGATGATAACGAATTCCACACGAAGGTTGTGCAATCTCTTGCAACATATTTACAGAATCAAGGCCAATGCCACGTCAATTATTTCCCATGGAATCAGACGGACGACCAATTCCAGTGGATTACTAGAACAGCAGACGATGTTGATTTTCACGTGCTAGTCTTATCTGCGTCTGCCTGTAGTCAATATGACGCTTTCACATCTAACAGACCAATAGATGCTACAGATATTTTTATACCATATTTATCAAAAATTCTCAATCAGGTTCAAAGTCATCAAAAAATCTTATTTGTAAGTTTCGATTACTTATCTGATGTAAGTATGCCAAACGGACTTGGTAGTTCGTATCAGTTATTGGATAATTTTACAGGCTTCCTGTCCCACATACATAAACCTAACCCAAACGACGGTCACATGGAAACACGAACTTTTAGTAAACACCTATCAGAAACAAGAGAGGGTCGCGATCTAATGAATGCAGTTGATAATGTTATCAAAATAAGCAGGTTTAAACAATCTAAGATGTATGGGTCAAGGATGGATTCTGGATATAAAAGTCATTGTGGAATGAATTCTGTGGATGAAAAAGAATGGAGAGATTTTACACAGAAAAATGTCATCAACGCGATAGTACAAGAACAGACGTATGGGGACAGATATGGTCAATTCGTCATTGATCCTGATATATGTAGTTTCAAACCTGTAGACGATGACGACGGGCTTTCAATATTCACTACTATTACTATAGCCGAGGGTGAAGCAGGAGATCGGATAGAAACATCTGAGGAGGCAGAAATGCACTTTAACCGCGATCGTTCATTCATGCATGCTGCTGATGATTTGCAACGGCGGAAAGCTGCGTTAGGGAATATCTCTAAACAACCGAGACAAAACATATATGCTACTGACAAGAATGGAAAACAGATTAAACCAAATTTAAATCCAGCAAGCCAAGAAAATGACCTGTGTCGAAAACAAAGCGCATCTATAAACGGAAGTAAAGCTATAGAAAATGAAGCAGGTGCGTTCATTATATCGGGAGACAACTCAGTATATCCTGGTACCGATTTCTTTCTACCTCCAGATCCAAGCGTACTCAGCGAAGATATTACAACAGAGTACCAGTTTAAGATGATGGATGATATAAATCGAGGACAATTTAACCCAGATTTAGACAATATTAGTGGGAAAAGTGTCTAGAAATCAAAATACTTCAACTGTATATACTAAAATAAACTGATTTCTACTCGTGCTAGCAAATGCTGTCTCATTCAAAAAGTATTAATGTGTACATATATAGATTCTTGTTTCACGGCCACACTTTTGAATTTGACTTACTGCAAGTTTCAAAGACTTGTTATTCCAAAAAAACGAAGGACGTAATTTTATATTTTTTTCCGTTGTTTATTTATTAACCAGTTTTTATATTAATGTATTTACATGACAATGTCTCAAATTTGAGTCGATTTCGACTGGTATTTCTTTGATACAAAGTATATTTGTAGTATTGTAATTTGCTTTAAACTGTGTTTTATTTAATATGGCTGCAATACAGATTGTAGTAGATTGTCTATTTATAATTTAGAATGTCCTATTTTGTGGACTATTGTCTTTTTTTGTTTGTTGCTAAAATTTTGTCTGTCAGTCTATTATTAAATTAAAAATTCATTATTTTTATTAGCCTATTAATATCTTTTTTCTTATTTATTGTATATATTTATGTTCTTTTACGCAACAATCTGTCGTAGTAAAATAACTATCATTTCTTGGAGAAGAATATGCTTACTTTTCCATGACATCTGTTTACACTTCCGGTCATAATGGGAGCACATTAGGAGTGCACATGTCTTATTGTGGTTGTATGTTGTTCATATATGTGTTAATTGTGTGCTAGGCTATCCTTTGTTCATAGAACTTAGAATCTTTCTTTTACATGTTTTCACAATTTTTCAACCTCTTGGGTTTATTCCTAGGCGGTGCATTAATTCAATTTTATCCAGCACACACTATATTTAACAACAAAAACGTTTCCAGATGCAATACACTTCTACTTGAATATTTTGAAATTGTTGTTATTATGAATACATTTTTTATACAGTATAAAATTCGTTTTGTCTATAAATTTTATATGATAAGTCATGAGACTTAGTTGTTTTAAGAATAGTTTAGTTTTAGATTTAATAACAAAAATAACCAAAGCATTAACTGCCAGGATATATAGAATCCAATGTATATATATTTTATTTTTAAAGCATTGTTTACCAGAGTTCTTTGTAGTGCTTACGGCAGAGAAAATCTTGAACACATCAAACTAGGGATACTTATCCACCGTTCGTTTAAATACAAAGCCTTACACTTTCAATTTGTGTATTAGAAATGTTGCTTGAGTGTACGCGTATGTGTTACATTATGCCGGGGCCTTGGCAAGATGTTAACCCCCTAGTTTATTCGGCCTAAAGATTGGCTACACCAATTAAGGTCTTAACAATCCGGCATTTAACCTTCCATAAGGGGCTTTATCAATTTCTAAATATCAATTATTTGACGTCCCCTAGAATGGGCCCGACCAACCTGTAAAAACCCCTAGTCTTGTATGTCAATGAGAAAACTCAGCAAACTCTAAATAACTCCTAGTCAAATTCACTCGGGAGGGCCAAAGTATGTTTCTAATTACCCTAAATCTTGTGAAAGGACTCATTAGCTTTTTAAGCCTGTTCTTAAACCGTCATTACATTGTAGCATTGCGAAAAATGGGTCAATATCGGTCAAAATTTATTTATTTGATATTTACTTTTTTGTATGCTTGTTGTGTCATGACTAGTCTTAGTTGTACACATTCATGATTTTATTTGCCTTGACCAATATGAATGTAATTGCATTAAAAATAAATAAAATATATATTTGATCTTTTATCTTTTGGCTTTATAGGTATTAAGGTGGTACCTAACACTACAGGGAGATAACTCTGTAAAAATCAGCTAAACGTTTTGATTACGTTGTATTGTTAAGGAAATATTAAGCTTCTCAATGATCAAAATTAGTGTTTGTCAAACTGCTATATAACCAATGAAATTTTTCTGATAAAGTGGTTGGTTCAAATTTTTTGAAATTTTTATATTTTTGTCAAAGGGTCAGAGTAAACATTTTGTCAAAATTTTATGAAAATTAAACGAGCCAAATTAATATTAGTCAAGGTGTTGGGTACCACCTTAAGTTACCGGTGCGACAAAGAATGGAACCCGACTATAGGCATTAAATACATGTTGAAACCAGACTGAGTGACAATAGTTGTATTTATGAAAAAAGGTATACTTGGTAGAGCGTCAATGAGGCATCAACCCAACAACGCAAAAAGATTCCAATTGATTGACTGATATATACTTTTTATCTGGTCATTTATCAAGGAGTCTTCATCGGGTCATTTACCACGGAGACTTCATCAGGCCATTTATTAAGGAGACCTTATCGGGTCATTTACCAAGGAGACTTCATCAGGCCATTTATTAAGGAGTCCTCATCGGGTCATTTACCACGGAGACTTCATCAGGCCATTTATTAAGGAGTCCTCATCGGGTATTTTACCAAGGAGACTTCATCAGGCCATTTATTAAGGAGTCCTCATCGGGTCATTTACCAAGGAGACTTCATCAGGCCATTTATTAAGGAGTCCTCATCGGGTCATTTACCACGGAGACTTCATCAGGCCATTTATTAAGGAGTCCTCATCGGGTCATTTACCAAGGAGACTTCATCAGGCCATTTATTAAGGCGTCCTCATTCGCGGGTCATTTACCACGGAGACTTCATCAGGCCATTTATTAAGGAGTCCTCATCGGGTCATTTACCACGGAGACTTCATCAGTCCATTTATTAAGGAGTCCTCATCGGGTCATTTACCACGGAGACTTCATCAGTCCATTTATTAAGGAGTCCTCATCGGGTCATTTACCACGGAGACTTCATCAGGCCATTTATTAAGGAGTCCTCATCGGGTCATTTACCACGGAGACTTCATCAGGCCATTTATTAAGGAGTCCTCATCGGGTCATTTACCACGGAGACTTCATCAGGCCATTTATTAAGGCGTCCTCATTCGCGGGTCATTTACCACGGAGACTTCATCAGGCCATTTATTAAGGAGTCCTCATCGGGTCATTTACCACGGAGACTTCATCAGTCCATTTATTAAGGAGTCCTCATCGGGTCATTTACCACGGAGACTTCATCAGGCCATTTATTAAGGAGTCCTCATCGGGTCATTTACCACGGAGACTTCATCGGGTCATTTACCACGGAGACTTCATCAGGCCATTTATTAAGGAGTCCTCATCGGGTCATTTACCACAGAGACTTCATCGGGTCATTTACCACGGAGACTTCATCAGGCCATTTATTAAGGAGTCCTCATCGGGTCATTTACCACGGAGACTTCATCAGGCCATTTATTAAGGCGTCCTCATTCGCGGGTCATTTACCACGGAGACTTCATCAGGCCATTTATTAAGGAGTCCTCATCGGGTCATTTACCACGGAGACTTCATCAGTCCATTTATTAAGGAGTCCTCATCGGGTCATTTACCACGGAGACTTCATCAGGCCATTTATTAAGGAGTCCTCATCGGGTCATTTACCACGGAGACTTCATCGGGTCATTTACCACGGAGACTTCATCAGGCCATTTATTAAGGAGTCCTCATCGGGTCATTTACCACAGAGACTTCATCGGGTCATTTACCACGGAGACTTCATCAGGCCATTTATTAAGGAGTCCTCATCGGGTCATTTACCACGGAGACTTCATCAGGCCATTTATTAAGGAGTCCTCATCCGCGGGTCATTTACCAAGTTATCTTCTTCGGATCATTAATAAAGGAGTCTTCAGCTGGTTATTTATCGAAGTCTTCATCGGGTCATTTATCAAAAAGTCTTCATCGCGTCAAGTTCTTTTTTCGTCTTCTTATTTTATGTTACTGATTTAGTGTGCACGATTCATGTGTCTGAATTAAGTTTTAGACCAAATACTGCGAAATTAACCAAATAATGGGAAAGCAGAAACACAGAACATTCAATTTGGGAGCAGCAAAGGACCAAAAAGTAACCTTTACCAGATTAGTTTGCAACCAAAATGTTAACTTAATTACTAGTATCTAGTTTATTAATTGAGGTTGTATGACCGAAGTGTTTCATCAATACAGAGTTTGCAACTTGATGTATTGTGCCAATGGGGACGTAATATCCGCCAGCAACGGTACCGACCCACCTTCTTCATGACTTATAATAAAAGGTACATGGCTTAAGTAGTAACGAAAACTACGTTTACATTGTATATAAAATGTAGTGTATTATAAACATATTTTACACGTATATATACATATATGTGTGTGAACCAAGTTATTTTTCAAACATCCGGTAAAAAATTGTCGGCACTAGTATGTATCTTTAAATTTTATCTTCACTGACACACACGACGGAAGATTTGAACATGTACAGTTATCCTGTGTTTATGACACATATAAAATAAACAAGGCTCCTTTGGAAGAAAAATATTGGTTCGTACTACGGTGTGGTCCACATGGCTAGGAACCGCAAAACATATTTATAACTTTGTTTTAAGACTATTCCCTCGCCATACTTAACAGTCGATCTCCTCTAACTTCTATAGCCTCTTGAACGAGTGCACAGAATGGACAAAACAAGACGGTTAAAAAGTCCCCACACGTGCCTCCCACAATGCCTTTCTCTTGTCGTACCCGACCTCGTATTGAAACAGCAGCCACCAAGTGTACGATAGGAAACATGTAAGTCAATCCTGAAAAGAAACAAAATATGAATAAATACAATATATATTTGGTGAAAAATGTGGGTAAAAAACTAATATAAACAAAAAATATCAAACAAAAACTAACAAAATTTAGGGTTTGTTGCTCGTGCTGTGATGATGCTGTAGAATGTGACCCCGTTCCTGTAGTGTATGCCCTTATATTTTACAGTTATGGGTTTTTTGCCTCTGAGAGCTCTGAGAGAGCTGTCTACTTATATATATACATATAGTTTTTATTATTACATTTTTCTATTTCTTTAAATTTAAATTTATAGTACATCAACTTCATTTGAACTTTGGTGGATAGTTGTCTTTTTGGCAATCATACCACTTCTCCTTATCTTTATTTTAAAAAGATAATCAAAAAGAAAACGAAAGACAAAACAAATAAAAAAATAGTTATACGATATTGCAAATATAAAGCGAAGTAAGGTTTTTTTTGTCAAAAAATGTGACGGTTTTGTAAATAACGTAAAGAAGTATAAAGGAATTACATGAGCACATGCGAAACACAACAACACTTTTAAAAGAGAGACAGTATTAAACCTGAATATACATTAAATTTTGCACTTAATATGAAGCTGTTTAAGTGCTAATACATATGTGTAAGTATATTGATGACAAACAGGAAAAAATGGTGAAAGTTTAAATGTGGAATTTTCACCACTCCTTGTTGTCATTGTTCCGCTCAAGAAATGTGGAATTTTCTCAATTTCCTGAATACCACTTAACGTAATATTGTCTTAAGCAGGTCTGTGATCTTGTACGTTGATTTCTATATTTGAATGATATATTGGGTGCTAATGTACCTACTCCGGCTTTCCTGCTCCTTATACACACGAAAAAATAAACAGAAATGTTGAATATCATTCATCTCTTTTTTATTTGCATAAAATTCACCGCGACATTTGTAATTGATCTTCATTTTGGTCAATTTGTATGTTGATATACCGACCAGCCATCTTTTGTGTGCCTGGGACAAATTATTTGTTTTCAAAAAAATCTAAATCAAACAATTTATTTAGAAATAAACAAAACCACACCACAAAAGATTAATGGTCGGTGCCTTAGAAGTATGCAGTGCCCTTTATATGTGAAAATGCATTTGTTTACCAACAAACTATTAAATCTGAGATTGCTTTAAGTAAGTTCGAGTTAAGAGACGATATTACAGCTGTGTATGTGTATTCTGCTATTATAATATTAATATTGAACAACAGGAATTTCTCGTTTTCAAATTGACTTTCGGTGTGCTTTCTCTCAATTATCGGCATTATTGCCGGAATATATCTACTTATAAATTTTGATTACAGAAAGATATGCTGCTATATATCATATTTAATTTTTGTTTATTGTTTTATACATAAATCAGGCCGTTAGTTTACTTAGGTTATGTTAAGTTGTTTTACATTTGTCATTTCGGGGCCTCTTATAGCTTTCTATGCGGTACGGGTTTTGCTCATTGTTAAAGGCCGTACGGTGATCTATAGTTGTTAACTTCTGCGTCATTTGGTCTCTGGTGGATAGTTTCCTAATCGGCAATATCACACATCTTCTAATTTTTATATTTGACATGTATGAGATATACGTCAACAGAGAGTTGCCATCAACACCAAACTCTCCATATGATAAATAATGTTGAGATATGACGAAAGACAATAACTAAGTAGTTTAATCTTGGCATATGTTTATGTGATCTCGTTTTTAGAATTCGCGGTCTTTGGTGAACTTTGTAAAGATATTTCTCAACTTGTCAAGATTTCTAGCTTGTAATATGTCGTGATGGGAATTTGGGAATAGTGTTATATATTATCGTCAGATGTATTTTCGTACTTCGTTACTGCATGCATTTGACAACAGTTTCGGATTTCCATAACAAAGTTAAACCAGACTCAAGCTAGCAGCCACTCGCTAGCAGCCACTATGCTAGCAGCCAGTATTTGGATATGTCTATGAACCCAAAAGTTGCATGAGATTCAAACGTACTCAAAATGTTTTTTTGATATACAACCACTATAGTATCAGTTTTTAATATCTAATTAAGCAGTCGAATACACATTAATAACTATAAAAATTTTAAAATGCTGTCAACATTGCTTCATGGAATTAAATTTGACATCAGAAATTATTTTGTGATATTGTGTCAAACTGCTTTCCATATTCTCGGCATCCTGTCAAATAGTTCCCGAAAAATAAAAATTGTTCTGCATTACAAAAATAGACAGTTGCACTCGTGCTGTAATATCTTTTTAAATCAAACAAAGCTATTTAACGAAACATTCTATTTCTAACCGAATGGATTTCGCTTACTTTTGATTAGACGAAAGGTTTATTTTTTGTGCACAAGTTATGGTGGGCAAGGAAATTGTTTTTACCTATTTAAAAAAAATCCGTATTGTTCTCCGATTTGGAATTTTGGTCAAGCAGTCCGTAGATCACAAGCTTTCGTTTCAACCATAGTTTCGAAAAAAGTATTGCCGTATGGAATTTTTTATTAACTGATCCGTATGGGTGGGGTAGGGTGTCCGACCCCAACTTTGGACCTGATTTAAAAAAAAAGTAAGCCTAACCACACCCTGGATTTTTTCTCAAGTAAACCCCAGCTACGTAGCTTCACTTTGCACCTAGTGGCGAAAAAAGTATTGCCGTATGGAATTTTTTATTAACTGATCCGTATGGATGGGGTAGGGTGTCCGACCCCAACTTTGGACCTGATTTAAAAAAAAAAGTAAGCCTAACCACACCCTGGATTTTTTCTCAAGTAAACCCCAGCTACTTAGCTTCACTTTGCACCTAGTGGCGAAAAAAGTATTGCCGTATGGAATTTTTTATTAACTGATCCGTATGGGTGGGGTAGGGTGTCCGACCCCAACTTTGGACCTGATTTAAGAAAAAAGTAAGCCTAACCACACTCAAAGTTTGGGTCGGACACCCTACCCCACCCATACGGATCAGTTAATTAAAAATTCCATACGGCAATACTTTTTTCGCCACTAGGTGCAAAGTGAAGCTAAGTAGCTGGGGTTTACTTGAGAAAAAATCCAGGGTGTGGTTTGGCTTACTTTTTGTTAAAATCAGGTCCAAAGTTGGGGGCGGACACCCTACCCCACCCATACGGATCAGTTAATTAAAAATTCCATACGGCAATACTTTTTTCGCCACTAGGTGCAAAGTGAAGCTAAGTAGCTGGGGTTTACTTGAGAAAAAATCCAGGGTGTGGTTAGGATTACTTTTTTTTTAAATCAGGTCCAAAGTTGGGGTCGGACACCCTACCCCACCCATACGGATCAGTTAATAAAAAATTCCATACGGCAATACTTTTTTCGCCACTAGGTGCAAAGTGAAGCTAAGTAGCTGGGGTTTACGTGAGAAAAAATCCAGGGTTTGGTTAGGCTTACTTTTGTTTTAAATCAGGTCCAAAGTTGGGGTCGAACACCCTACCCCACCCATACGGAAAAGTTTATAAAAGCTTCCCTACGGCAATACATTTTTCGGCACTGTGTGAACGGACGCTTGAGACTTAGGGTAAAGCATGGATTCATTTGTAAAATTGATAATCAATAAATTCCTTCCTCACCATACTTTTGTACAAAAAATAAAACTTTCGTGTATTCAAAAGTAAGCGAAAATCAATGGTTTAGAAATAGAATGTTTCGTTAAAACAGATTTGTCGGATTAAAAAAAAAAGAGCACGAGTTCGACTTTCTATTCTTGTAATGCAAAACAATTGTTACTTTTCAGGAACTATTTGACAGGATGCCGAGAATATGGAAAGCTATTTGTCACAATATCACAAAAATAGTTTATGATGTAAAAGTCGATTACAAGTGACAAGCACTTTTCCAGCATTTCAATAACTCTATAGACTTAATGCACTCATAACTGTTGACTATTAAAATTTAAAGAGTGCAGTACGCTGTTTGATATATTTAAAACGATTAATATTATCTTCAAGTTAATGAAAAGGAAACGATTTTTTAATTTCATTGAATAGTGTCTTCGACTGCTTGATTATATATTAAAAACTGATACTATAGTGGTTATATATTAATTAAAACATTTTAGTACGTTTTAATCTCATGCAACTTTTGGGTTCATAGACGTATCCGAAAACTGGCTGCTACCGTAGTGGCTGCTAGCGAGTGGCTGCTAGCTTGAGCTTGGTCAAAGTTAACCGTAGTTGGCTATAACTAGTTGGTTGATGATAACTGTACTCCGCATCAGTGCTAAAAGGCTATATCGCGGCGAAGGTTGGCTATAAAGTCGTGTATGTTGTATAAACATTTGAAACATGGAACATGTTTACATGGCTGTCAAAAGTCAGAAACTTTCCCAGTGATCGTCGTTTGTTGTACATGTATCTTAATGTATTGTATCTTTAGATAATTTAGCATTGAAGACAGTTTATTTATTGTTTGTTTGTTGGGTTGCTTTCTAATTGACGTATTATACATCTATCTTTTTATTTGCAAATATTATATATAAATAAAAAAAAAAAAAAAAAAAAAAATAACCCAATACAAAACAATTCATGGTCGATATAAAAGATTATGACAATTGAGTGATTTAAATAACACACTTTTATTTCATCTAAGGTATGTAACTCAAACGTTTGAATAAAAAACAACAAAAAGAGGTGATGCATTCGCCGTTTTCGTTTTACTGATACACTATTGTTTGCATATGCATCTCTAACATTACGTTAAAATAATGTTATAAATTGTACACAAGGTCTTACTTGTAAGGCTCGACACACAATACTGTCATCTTTATAAAACTGTCATATCACAAAGAATAGTAAAACGACTCTTAAAATATTAAGAAAATTTAACGACACATAAAAATCGAGTTCATAGAACAGTAATCCACTGAGCAAACCGGAATCAAGCGGATAATACAGTAATGGAATACAGCAAACAATGAAGCTATACAAGAATCAAGTGGACAATACGAGAATCTAGCAGACACAATATGAATCGGTGTAGATACATGTGATACGGGAATCCATTAGAAACATGTAATACGGAAATCCCTTGGGAGATATGGGAATCCAGTATATAATACAGAAATCCCGTAATAAATACTGGAATTCATTCGACAATATGAATCAGGTGTACAATACTGGAATCCAATGGACAACATGAATCAGATGTACAATACTGGAATCCAATGAACAATATGAATCAGATGTACAATACGGAAAAACAATGGACAATATGAATCAGGTGTACAATATGGAAATCCAATGTACAATATGAATCAGGTGTACAATACTGGAAGTCCAATGGACAATATGAATCAGGTGTACAATACTTGAATCTAAAGGACAATATGAATCAGGTGTACAATACGGAAAATCAATGGACAATATGAGTCAGGTATATGTATACAATGCGGAAATACAATGGATAATATGGGGTGTACAATACAGAAATCCAATGGACATTTTGAATCAAGTGTACAATACTGGAATCTAATGGACAATATGAGTCAGGTATATGTATACAATGCGGAAATACAATGGCTAATATTTATTAGGTGTACAATACAGAAATCCAATGGAGATTTTGAATCAAGTGTACAATACTGGAATCTAATGGACAATATGAATCAGGTGTACAATACTGGAATCTAATGGACAATATGAATCAGGTGTACAATACGGAAAAACAATGGACAATATGAATCAGGTGTACAATACTGGAAATCCAATGGCCAATATGAATCAGGTGTACAATACTGGAATCTAATGGACAATATGAATCAGGTGTACAATACGGAAATACAATGGACAATATGAATCAGGTGTACAATACTGGAAATCCAATGGACAATATGAGTCAGGTGTACAATACTGGAATCCAATGGACGACAATATGATTCAGGAGTACAATACGGAAATACAATGGATAATATGAATCAGGTGTACAATACGGCAATCTAATGGACAATATGAATCGGGAGAACAATACAGAAATACAATGGACAATATGAATCAGGTGTACAATACGGAAATACAAAGGACAATATGAATCAGGTGTACAATACTGGAAATCCAATGGACAATATGAATCAGGTGTAAAATACGGAAGTACAATGGACACTATGAATTCATAGAACACATTGGAATCCAGTAAACAATGCATGAAAACAGTGGACAATGCATTAGAACAGTGGACAAGTGGACAATACAGTACGAACGTGGATATTACATGAATCAAGCTGATAATACACGAATACAGTTGACAATACGGATTCCAATGGACAATATGAATACTGTGGACAATGCATAAATATAGCGGATAATGAAGTTCATTCTTGGACAGTAAATGAACTAAGCTGACAATACGCCAGTGACGAATCAAGTGTACAATACGGATATCCAATCAACAATACGGTGACAGTGGACAAAACGGATATCCAGTGGATAATATATCCTATATCTCTTTGAATATTGAATATGAAAATAATACTATTTGACTTACCACAACATAAACAACTGTCTCCCATCGCCTCGGCATTTTTTCCGAATGTGTAACATGGCACAAAATATGTTATGATACATAATCCAAAATCGTCGAAACAACCAAATAAACTGCTCTGCCAGTCAGACATCTTACTTCAAATTAAAGTAAAATCTATCAAATAATCCAAATCCTGAAAACTAAATCTTCTGATCAAGACTTTAACCTTCTTTTTAAATTTAAATAAAATATGAAGGGTGATATTTTGTGAATGAACACTAAATTTACTTCCTTATACCGGGAACTTAGTCACATGATGTACGATAGATCACATGAATATTAGATAACAATAGTGTAGGGTCAACATGTTACAATCTGAAAAAGATAAATCGAAGAATTTTATTGAATTTGGTATAGCTTATTAGCAGATTAATTGTTATTCAATTTAATTTAAAGTTAGTATGTAAATATGTTTAGTACACAGGTGTATTGCGGCCCGTTTTGATTTTGATTTATGTTTATATTTAACTTATATCCGATCTCTGTTCAGATGTATAGGGGTATTGGAGGGGTTTACATTACAGAGAATAATCGACACAAACAAGAAAAGATAATAATGAGGTGCTTGAATAAAAGAAGAATAGAGAATTATGGAGGGAAAAATAGAGACAAATTACATAAACAATTAAACAGCGCATAAATGAACACCCACAAAATCTAGTTCCTCATGCATTGAAAATAGAAGAAATATTGTCAGTATGAATTCTAAAAATTTAAAGGACGGTAATTATAATAAATATCAAAATATTTGATTGATAGATTGAAAAGATTTTTAAATACTAAGTTATAATCAAGCATAAAAATACACTCAACAAGCAACTTTATATTTTGTGTGGGTGTATTTTCTATATATTTACCGTCGTTCATCCATTACTTTCTTTTTATTTTATTTTTTAAATACATGTAATAGAAAATGCTTTTTGGTTAGGCAAATCAGCACCAACAACAACGAAACATCACCAAAATATACACACACAAAAAAAAAAACAAAGGAAAAAAGAAAACTTGAAATCCATATGTGTTTTTCCCGTTAACTACTTGGTGATCCTTTTTTTACGTTTTTTTCTTATTTTCTATATTTTATTTGACAAACAAAACGTGTAAATCTGAATTCAAGTCAAAATTGAAGCTTGGTATACTTTGCAGTTTGTCTTTCGGAAAATATTCCTAGTATTGATTACTGTTTTGGTTCTGCTATCCTTCTGTAAATCTGCCCACTGTTCTTATTATACACCAACTGAAAGTTGTCATTGAATATTTGATAATAAAACAGACAAAATGGATCCAGATTTTGGAGTTATCAAAATGGACCGTAAAGATTAGTATGTTGGGATCATAAAAAAAGGGTCGGCCGGATAATTGCAAACATTATATTTTTTTTTAATATACAAGTGTGGACACAGATCAGTGTGGATAGTATGATTGGATGTTTGACAGTGTTTTATATGACAAAAGGAGTTCTATGTTTTATGTTTTCTATGTATTAACTGTGTTGCACAATGACAACTAACATGAGCATTAGGGGTGTTGTTTATGTAATATTTAGTTTTTTATGTTCAACACGGGCATGGAAGAGATACTAATTGCATTAATTACCAAATGATTATGATAGAATATATATGTTCCACATCTTTGATTTTGGATTCATTTTGTAGCTAGGAGAGGAACACATAATAGGTTCATTTTTTTCTTAATGTGATTTTTTTATATGGGAGATGGTATCTGAGAACATGTATTTGCTTACTATTTGTATGGTTCTATTTATATTACTTTGTGAGGGATTGTCAGTATCATAAGTAAAAGATTTCAGTTAAATGTGGAAATTATTTCTTAGTTTAGAAGACATTTAATGTTTATTTGTAATGACAATGCCTGACATGATGATTGGGGCTAGATGAGCTAGAAAGTGAATATCTGTGTTATTTTTTATTAATTCTTTGAAAATATCTCCTCCAAAGCTGGTCAAAGCAAAAAAAAGTTTTGAAAAGTATGAAATGATAGCAACAAATGAACCTTTGTGAGCATGCTTCAACGACTCATAACTAACTACAGAAGTCATATGATAAAATGTCAAGTGGATATTATGAACATCTACTTAATATGTCTAAATATCTAAAAAGTTTTAGTATTCAATATGAAAAAGCTATTGCAAAAGTATTCTCTTTTCAGTTTTTTTTTGTTATATGGATACAAATATAAGTGATACCAATACAGTAAGGCAGTTTTGTTATGGTATGAAAGTGTAGTAATTAGCATTTACTGTTAATTCACACAAATTAAGAAATAAACAAATGAATGATAAATGTTGAACATGTACAATGAAATATATTTTAGAAATCAATTAGGCCAGATAGGCCTTATAAATTTTGATCTTTTTCTTAACATACTGAATGACCATTTACACTCAGGACTGAGTCACCAGTAGGCAGTACAGACGTAAACAAATGTGGATAGTGTCCACATGTGGACACAGATGATGCCCCCGCTTGCATATCATATAGTTATACAGGGACATAACTGAAGAACGGTAAAAGTGACGCTACCCAAATTTGAACTTGATCTGAGTTTTGTGGTAATAAGCATTGTGTGTAAGTCTCATAACATTTGGTTGAGGCTAACTTAAGTAGAGAACAGAAACTCAAAATTCAGCAATTTTTCTATTTGTAAACATGCATAACTCTAGAACGGTTGTTTATAATTTTTCCATTTGTAAAGGGGCATAACTCTAGAACGGTAAAAGTGACGCTACCAAAATTCAAACTAGATCTGTGTTTTGTGGTAATAAGCATTGTGTATAAGTTTCATAACATTTGGTTGAGGCAAAATAAAGTTAGAGAACGGAAACCAATATTGGGACGTATGTACGTAATGCCCCCTCCGCTACGGCGGGGGCATAAAAATAAAGTGTAACAAAATAACCTAGCATCATATTGCTAGTAGCGCCAGTAGCATTGTTTGGTGAATTTGTGCTTTTGTTTTTTAGTTTGGCTAATGGACAAAAAATGTTTGGTTCAAATCTAAATAAAATGCTTTTATCTCCCTATTACTTACATTGTACATAGAATTGCATAACAATGAACTGAGCTCAAAGCAAAGCACTTTAATAATACACTTAGACAATGAGCTCAATCCAGTGATATACTTTGTACTACAGGTCCTTCATGAACATCCTACTGGTCAAAACCATATCCCACAAACATGCCATACTACATGGTTGGATCCGAAGTCCTGAAAAAGACATGAACTTTATTGACATATTTTAAGTATATACACTGGTTAAAACTTTCACAAATTTGTGGTAAAATTATTCAGTATCTAGCAACTATCAATCGCTTCATGCACAAATTGATATAGGTTGAGTACCCCTGTGTCAGAAATAAGAACATACCTCCACCTAATTTTAGTCAGAAACGTAAAATCTAAAATTTATAAAAAACGAAAGGGAGCTCATGTCAATAGATATAAACAATTCACCAAAGTTTTATGCAAATTAGTTAAAGCGGTTTTGAGTTAATGTCCGACAAGTTGACGACGGACAGACAGACGGACAACGGTATACCATAGTACGTCCTGCAAACGGGCGTATAAAAAGGACAGGGTGTCATACCACACCAAAACCTTCTGAAGGAAACACTAAGTTGGGAAACAAATTTTTTTTTTTTCATTGACAACCCTGTATAACCTTGCAGCAGTATCGAGTCTACATGCATTACCTTGTATATTTCATGTACATTGAACTTAAAAATATGTGGTCATTGTCAAAGTTAGTTATGTCAGTTATAATTTACACATTTACTGAAACATGCCAGAGAAGTGCAAGTACAAACTTTTGAATTTGATCTGCAAACTGGGAAAGCCATCCTTTTATATGAATAAAATTTAACAATTTATTAAATTGAAAGGGAGCTTGCATCAATAGATATATATAAACAGTTAACCAAAGTTTCATGACAAATGACAACTGCTTAAAGCATTTTTGAGTTATGTCCGAAAACATGGAAATCCCCCTTTTTGAATGAATAAAACCCCTTACATTGTAACTGGATAATGTAAATTCTAAAATTCCAAAACAATCTAAAGGGAGCTCACATTAATACATGTCAGAATATAATCCCATATAACTCTGAAACGGGAAACCTAAAATTTATAAAATAATCAATTCACAACAGTTTCATGCAAATTGGTGAAAGCGTTGAAGAGTTAGTGAACAAAGCATTTTTAGAGTTAATGGGCGTTAACATGAAAATCCCCCTTTTTTAATGAATAAAACCTCACATTTTGAAAATGTATATTATAAAATTCTTAAAATCTAAAAGGGAGCTCACGTCAGTAGATATAATCAATTCACCAGAGTTTCATGCAAATTGGTAAAAAATATTACTGAGTTAGTGAACAACATGCTAGAAACTTATATAACATTTGAGCGCAAGAAAATCTCTATGTGAATCGGCTGAATCCCGGGGTCGAAGTTCAACATATCAACGGAAATTTTTGCGTGTGCTTGCGTTGCTTTAGATCAAGGCCACAGCTTTTCAACCAATCGGGGAATGTTTACTTGGGGCATACATCTATTTTTACTGCAGGTTTCGACATGTTTAAATCGGGATTATAGAAAAATGGAATGTTGTTGGTAGATACAAAACAGAAAATAATGAACACTTTTAGCAAAAGATAAATTGGATCGGGGGTCTGTGAATTCACATTATTTGTACAACTCTCCTTACTCTTGGGAAGCGTGTGCTTTACATCGAGGCTTGCGTTGCTTTACATTGACGCCATAGTAGATCAACCAATCGGGGAATGTTTATTTGGGGCATACTTCTATTTTTACTGCAGGTTTTGGCATATTTTAATCGAAATTAGAGAAAAATGGAATGATGTTAGGAGATATAAAACAGAAAATGATAAATATTTTTAGCAAAAGATGAATTGGATCGGGGTTCTGTGTATTCACATTATTTGTACAACTCTCCTTACTGATGGCAAAAAATGGAATTTCCGTGACCTAAATGGTTCGCGAAAATTAATATTTATATATATATATATAGTAAATTTGTACAACTCTCCTTACTGATGGCAAAAAATGGAATTTCCGTGACCTAAATGGTTCGCGAAAATTAATATTTTTATATATATATAGTAATAAAACAATTGAACTTTAGAACTTTATTTGAAAACTCTAATACATTACATACGTGTAACAGGAGGACAGGGAATGATATATAAGTAGACAAAATCTATATTGGTAATTAAATCGTACGACACCT